CTCAGGGTGCATTGCAGCAGGTGGTCTGTGGTTTGCTCTTCTCCACACTCGCATGTCGTGGATTCCACTTTGTGGCTCCATTTCTTGAGGTTGGCTCTGCATCTCGTGGTGCCAGAGCGCAGTCTGTTCAGCGCCTTCCAAGTCGCCCAGTCTTCTGTGTGCCCAGGGGGGAGTCTCTCATTTGGTATCAGCCATTGGTTGAGGTTCTGGGTTTGAGCTTGCCACTTTTGGACTCTCGCTTGCTGAGGTGTTCCAGCGAGTGTCTCTGTAGATCTTAGAAAACTATTTCTAGATTTAAGTCGTTGACGTGCTGGCTGATACCCAAACAGGGGATGAGCTGGAGATATCTCTGCCTTGGTCCTTTCACTATTGGCTGCCACTTCCCGGCGGATGTCAGGTGGTGCAATACCGGCTAAGCAGTGTAATTTCTCCAGTGGTGTAGGGCGCAGACACCCCGTGATAATGCGGCATGTCTCATTAAGAGCCACATCTACTGTTTTAGTGTGGTGAGATGTGTTCCACACTGGGCATGCGTACTCAGCAGCAGAGTAGCATAGCGCAAGGGCAGATGTCTTCACTGTGTCTGGTTGTGATCCCCAGGTTGTGCCAGTCAGCTTTCGTATGATATTGTTTCTAGCACCCACTTTTTGCTTGATGTTCAGGCAGTGCTTCTTGTAGGTCAGAGCATGGTCCAGAGTGACTCCCAGGTATTTGGGTGTGCTGCAATGCTCCAGTGGGATTCCTTCCCAGGTGATCCTCAGAGCTCGGGATGCTTGTCTGTTCTTAAGGTGAAAAGCACATGTCTGTGTTTTAGATGGATTAGGGATCAGCTGGTTTTCCCTGTAATAGGCAGTAAGAGCACCTAGAGCTTCGGAGAGCTTCTGTTCAACCATCTCAAAGCTCCCTGCTTGAGCGTAATGGCATGATCATCAGCATAGATGAAACTCTCTGTCTCTTCTGGCAGTGGCTGGTCATTTGTGTAGATGTTGAACATGGATGGAGCAAGCACACTCCCCTGAGGCAGGCCGTTCTTCTGTTTTCGCCATCTGCTTCTCTGGCCCTGGAACTCAACAAAAAAGCTCCTATTTTGTAGCAGGTTTCCTATGAAGCGGGTGAGGTGGTAGTCTTTTTGTGATATTATACATTTTTCTCAGGAGGAGGCGGCCTATGATACTGTGAACCACCACCCTGCTAATAGCAGTGCTTATTCTATCTACTCACATTTCTGCTTTCGACCTGTTATGTGAGCAGGTGAGCTGAGGCTAACGGTGGGTGCTCACCCTGACCTGGGTTCAAACTGCTGACTTTTCAATCAGTAGGATTTTTCTGCAGCACAGCAGTTTAGCCTGCTGTGCTAAGCCCAACCCCTTTGGATGTAGTTGCAACTTTAATTATTTTAATACTAGAATCAATATAATTCTTGAGACAGAACCTAGATTTCCTTTTAACATTGGACATCAATCACCTGCCCTCAGTTTTTCTCTACACCCACCTATTAGGAAGAACACTATGTATGTTCCCTTAAGCACTGATAGCTTCAGTGGTGATAGTAAGGGTGACACATGTTATATGTAGGGGTGGGCCATATCATAGGATTTTCTTGACAAAATTTCTTCAGGAGAGGTTTACCATTACTTTCCTCTGAGGATGAGGGAGTATGACTTGTCCAGTGAGTTTCAGGGCCAAACGGGGATTTGAACCCTGGTCCCAGAGTCAGAGATTTAACACTCAAACTCTACAACACATTTTTACAAAAGGTTTTTTATCACACATCTTTAGTTAGGAAGAAGAGCAAAAACAATGAAATGCTCTGAAACAGTATTTGAAATGGATTCAACATAACATCAGTTCAGATTTATAGATATGTGGATAAGAGACTTAAATCCATTTTCAGTTATACCAGTGTTATGAGTAAAGAGAAACTATATCCTTGGGGAAAACACATATCACTAATTTCTTTCTCGTGGTCTCAAAGGTGCTGCAATACTTCTTTTGAACTTATTTACTTTCCAAAGAGATTAATTTTTTAAAAGATAAAACAAATGTTCTGTTTTGTTTTACAGATTCATTAACTTTAAGAAAAAAACATATCCACTGTGCTCCAAATAGTGTCCTCACTCAAAGCATCTGAAATTTAATGAAGTGAATGAAATAGAAGAAACTCATGCCTACAAGACTTAAATTTGTTTCTGGGAACTAACATTAACATAATATTTTCCCCTGTCATTTCATCTACTCCAGTCTTTTAACAATCTATATACATTAAAGCCAATTCACAGCAATTAAAGAGTGAATTTACCATGAGATCTGCTGCTAAAGCAAGGCACTATGAATTAGTCACGAAATCTGCTGATGCGAGAAAAGTGATGCTCTAATCCCTGTAGAAACAATTATTCTATCAGTAATAATTGCTCAAGAACATTATAAAATTCCTTTTAAAATCAACCAAATCTATTTTTCTGTATACTTGTAGCTCCTAACCATTATTTCTGAATTACCTTAAAGCAGTGATTCCCAACCTATTTTTGACCAGGGTCCACTTGACCAGGGACCACTCTCTCAACATTAGTACCAAAAGGGTTACGTATCCGTTTTTAGTCAACTTTAGATTCAGTTTGGTTATTTGGTGTGCTGATTCAGAAAATTGCATTGGATAGACCACATCAGCTCTAGTTTCTGATACAGAACATATGCCATCCAATAGTCGCTATCTGCTCGCCAACAGAAAATCATATTTAATAATCTAGAGATGATATGGTGTATCCAATGCAATTCTCTGAATCAACAGTCCAAATAACCCCGGGAACATGCCTAAAAATGAAGACACCAAGAAGAAAATTGGTTGGGCTGTTACTATCTGTGGGTTTTGTTATTTATTTATCGTGTCATCAGCAACCAGACATTTGTATTACATTTTTAACAAAAACAAATAGACAGACAGACAGAAAAAACACAGAATTTGCAAGCTTGGTAGTTGATTAAATGTCCTTTGACCAGGTTTTATTAATGCTCATGGGGTGAAAAAAAGAAGGGGAAGGAGCGGATGTTGAAAAAAATAAAAAAAAGGATGCATGAAACCCAAGAAACTGTCCCTATTGGCTTTCTCTTGCCTCCTCACCATGGGCGCATGGCTACGAGAAAGGGAGCATGGTCTGTAGAGCACGGAAACGGTAAGGCTGCAGATCATATTTTAGTTCTTGTGGACCACTGGTGGTCCACGGACAACAGGTTGGGAACCACTGCCTTAAAGCCTGGTTCACACAGAATCATCAGGCTAAAAAATTTTGTTTCTCACACATTTATCTCTCCACATATGACAGATCTCATCGCTTGTAAATAAAAAAGTGGAAACTTATCATAAAAAGCCATTTTAGAAAGGCTGAAATAGCAATTCATGTGTGGGTTTACCCCATGCACCAATAACAGCAAGGCACAAGTTCTCAATCCCATTTTGTTAATACAATTGACTCCACTGTTGCCATTTGAGTTTATTTCACATCTTTGCTACCCAGATAGAAAACACTGAGTACAAAAAGATGGACAGAAGAAGTGTGTGTGGGATATTATCTAACTCCCTAGGATGACTGTCTGTCACATGTATCAATCTTGCATTCTCTGACAGGCTGAAGGAGGATATTTCTAAGCAACTACCTTTTAGCTGCACCTAATGACTATTATTCTATTACAACACTACTCAGTAAACTGACTTTCCAAAGACTGTCTGTCTTTATTTATATTTGTTGACTTTATAATATCAGACAAACGTGGATGGCTCCTTCCATCCTGCCGTTCTGCAAACATCTCCTAATAATACCGATAGTATATAGCAAATGAGTTAATGTGTCCAAACATTCTTCGTACTGCAGCAAAGTTGCAACATGCATCAACACAATGCTTTATCATCAAGCTATCATTTGCTTTCAAGCTTTATTACCCACAGTTATAGAATGGAAGGAAACAAATAAGGCTTCAGCTCTTTTACACCCTTTTGTTCTCTGAATATAAATTTTCACAACTCTTCTGACCTTCAAATAAGGTCACTTTTGCCCAAAGGACAGAATATTGCTCCAATTCTCAGTGTCAATGACTTTGTCACAACTGAAGGATCTATCATCAAAGATTGCTTCTCTCTTTCGAACTAGTCAAAACTTGGATTAATGGACAGAAATACTAACTCACCTTTTTTAACCAGTGCCATTGCTTCTACCAAAAGCATTACTTTGAATGACAAAAACATAGTGAAGCCTTTTTCAATGGTTCAAATTGTGACTTGATTAACATATTTAATACCAGATTTAAATTGCATGAAAGAAATCTATGAATTGTTGGAAGTCCCTCCAAAAAAATTCTTTTCACACTAAAGTGAGATAAAAAAATTCCCTACAGTCCTGAAACACTGAGAGAGATTTTGTCCCTAATCTTTGTTGTCTAAATACAGGACCTTATATTTATCCCAGTTGATGAAGTGTTGCTTTTTAAAAACAAACAAACACCCAAGTTGGTATATTAGGAACTGGAGAGCAGCTACATATCTAGCACTCAATATAACAAATAATGTCTGATAAGACTTCCCAGGGGAGCCCGCGGTGGCGCAGTGGGTTAAACCGCTGAGCTGCTGAATTTCAAATCTGGGAAGCGGCGTGAGCTCCTGCTGTTAGCCCCAGCTTCTGCCAACCTAGGAGTTTGAAAACATGCAAATGTGAGTAGATCAATAGGTACCATTCTGGCGGGAAGGTCACAGTGCTCCATGTAGTCATGCCGGCCACATGACCTTGGAGGTGTCTACAGACAATGCTGGCTCTTCAGCTTAGAAATAGAGATGAGCACCAACCCCCAGGGTCAGACACTACTGGACATAATATCAGGGGAAAACCTTTACCTTTACCTAAGACTTCCCAATCATTTATATACTAGTTTAAATAGCAGACCAGTATGAAAAATATGATGGAACAGAGTTTTCAGGTTATTTTAAAATCAAATTCTATAAAACACATTCTTACCAGAATAACTTGAAAAATTGTTGGAACAAGACACATCTCTTCAATCAAGCTGTGAAGAAAAAACACATTTCGAATTCAACTGCTGTATATAAAAAGTATGTAAATTAATATTTTTAAAAGACAAATATTGTGGGAACTGATTCCATGGTGATTTGGTTATGAGACACCCCCTCCACACACACACACAGGTATTCTAAACAAGCAAGTGATCACATTCCATATTATTAAATGGTGGCAGAATGCACTCAGATGCTATTGTGTGTCCATGTTGATGTTGTTACCATTTTAAATACAGGATGTGACAATCTGTGTTTGGTGGAAATTGTAGATCTAGAGCTAGCAAATATGGATGACCCACCGGATTATTGTAGAGGAATATGATTAAGTCTTCCAAGTGGGAACATAGTTAGTAAAAGAATTGGAGCCAGCAGTCTATAATGAATATGCTGAAATTATAACACATACTCTCAAAGCAGCTTTTTATGTATGCTTCATTAACTACTTTTACAGTTTCTGCATTAACACTTTTAATTATATTAGAATCTCATTAGAATCAYATTTTGTGTATCTGAAAAGTGATTAACCAGCAKATTTCAAATAGAGGACATGCAACTTTATAACAGGAGCTACAAAAAGTACTATAAAACCATTTAAAGTGTGTGTAACGTTTGTCAAGTAWGCCACTTTTAAGTRCAGGTTTGACTTAGTTTTGTTTTTTGCAACTTTGATTTAGTTTTGTATTTTGCAACTCCTGACCTAAATTAAGCCCAAAGTGGGCCAAAAGCTAAAATGYCYCTMTCCTTCATATTAGAGCTCKATAATGGCTAGGTAAAGCAAATAAYAGTAGCAGAAAATTKTACTGATTAGCYCTAGGACATATCACAATACTAAATCAAACAAAAGGCTTGATAAAACTTGATTACRCTCTATATAGTAACTTTAGTAAAACACTTRTAACAATGAAGTAAATAAATATGATAAAACTGAATATATACATCATGTTTCCTTATYACCCCTACAATTTACCCCAATCAGCCTCACRTATGTGGTTCTCAGACATATTGCTTTGCTTAAAAACRGAGCTGTTTTATATGTTATTTTTGAGTCTTGGTCAAACATAAAATATGTCGTTCTGATGTGGGATTMCCAACAAATTGTCTGTTTGATATACGAACCAAGGTACATGTCTCTCATCTTCTGGTACAATTTACAACCAAATARTATGTGTACTACATTCTCAATTTCAGGTGCTCAGCAGATACAAATCCATTCATTATAAAGGATGCTGTTAAATCTCCCATTTCTGACCATTTTATCAAGCTGATCAAATCTAGCTCGAATGAATACCTCCCTAAAATGTTTTGACATTTGAATTTTTAGACAGTTGTAAATTTGAAAGGTAAAGCAAATAATGAAAACATGTAAACATCTGTTTTTAAGAGTGTGTTCATTTGTAGCTTGGCTTTTTAATACATTGACATTTGATCTGGATGTTTCTAATGAAGCATGGTCTTAATCTTTCCAATACTTCTGTCCAACTACTATTTGAAATCAGTATAATATTTTAAGCACAAAACTCTTCAACATAAGGCATATTATGGTCATCTACTTAAAAAGAAGCAATCATTCAGAAAATCATTGACTGTTAAGGAGAGTGTGCACACAAACTCCTTAATATATTATTGAAAGAAGGGGGAGTAGGACTACCATGTATTTATTTATTTATTTATTTGAAACATTTATATTTCACACTTCTCACCATGCAAAGGCAGACCATAACATATATATGCTGGACATAAAACTATAAATATACACAAACATTAAAATCACTTATATCTACTTTAAAATGAACTGTTTTAAACCATCTTAAAACACCTATTATTGCCGCATTGCACTGGCCCAAAGGCTTGGTCCCACAGCCAGGTCTTCACCATCCTCCTGAAGGACAGGAGAGAGGGGGTTGATCTAATCTCACCAGGAAGGGAGTTCCATAGCCGGGGGCCAATCACTGAGAAGGCCCTGTCTCTCGTCCCCACCAAATGCGCCTGTGGGACCAAGAGCAGGGCCTCTCCAGAAGATCTTCATCTTCATGATGGTTTGTAAAGGGAGATGCGTTTGGACAGGTAAACCAGGCCAGGGCCATTTAGGGCTTTATAGAGCAAAGCACTTTGAATTTTGACCAGTAGCAAAGAGGCAGCCAGTGGAGCTGACGTAACATGGGAGTTGTGTGCTCCCTATATGCTACCTCAGTTACTAACCTGGCTGCCTCTGGTTGAACTTGCCGAAGTTTTTGTAATGTTGGAACTTGCTTTTAATCTTGGGCTTTATTCCAACAATCCTGAGACTCTCCACCATTTCCAACCATATTCATACATAAATACATTCTCTTTCACACATGCAGATACAGAGTTGCCCCTCCACATTTCTGGATTTGACTTTTAACTATTCACAGATTTCATTAAAATGTGCTGTCTAAAATACTCTAGATGCACCTCCATGGTAAGCTTCTGTTGGAAGTTTATCACAGTCATACAGTCAATTGTAGACTCTATGATTTTATCAATCTCTTTTGACTTTGGTTTAAAATATAGTTGTTTTACCTTATAAAAGCAGGACTGTACTCTGTAAGGGCAACAAGCAGTTTCAGAGCATAAGCTGGTACTGGGTTAGGTGCAGTTAAAATGTGTTCTAATCTGAAACCAAGAGAAAAAATTGTGAAACATATTTTATGTGGGGAAATATCTGATTTGATTAAATAATCCCCCTCTCCAAAGAAATCCCTGCATTGGCTTCCTGTCTGTCCAAAGATCCAATACAGGAATTTTATCATGACTTTCAAAGTCCCTGGCCTTATCTTTCCCCTAATATCATGATACATTCCTGCTCAAGATCTCTGTTCTCTTAGCCCAACTATAGTACACGGGTTTCTTAATTCTTCAGGGTGCTCAAGATGCTAATCTGTGAGCAGGTTCCCTGCTTGTGCAACAAATCATAGTCACAGAAATCCAACTGTAGTGCTTTCCAAAATATGAATTTCCCTATTTCTATATAGTACTCCTTAGCACCAAGCAAATTAAATCGAACTTTACTAAAAGATGCATGCAAAGGGATGTTTTAACATCTTAGTGACTAACAGAAAAACAAAGCTGGTAGCTTTTTCCAACTAAATTGCTACTACTTTGAATTCTAGTAATAGACGTGCATTTTCCCATGTTCATTTATCTTAGACGCAATATATTTTCTCAGTTTAAATTGGAAGCAGTTTCTGCTGAACATCTTAAAATTTACTTCCAAGTAAATATAGATAGGAAGTTCCTCAACAGCCACATTTATTTTAAAAAGATGCTGACTAATAGCATACTCATTTGCATTTTACAAAGGGATGCTATCACACATTACTTACATAGTAATTCTACATAAAGTGACGCTGCATAGTAAAAGAAATTACGCAAGCTATACCTCTTCTAAACGTGCTTCACTACATTTTTAACTTCACATTTGCTGTCCCTTTATTCTAGGACAGGTACCTATTCCAACTCTGTTTCTTCCCAAAAGGTTTTTCTCTTAATCCTATTATTTCTCCCACTATGGATACAATGCAACCAACTCAGAGGACAAGAAACAAAAACAAATCAGCACTGAATAAACCAAAGTCCAATGTATTTCAATCCAAGAGCGAGCAAGCTGAGTATAACCAACAAAATACATAGTTGGAAAGGCAATGTATTCCACTCAGATAATTAGGGGTACCTCGTTTCTCTTTGGAGAGACCCGGGCAGATTGTAAAATTGCAATGCAAACTTGTCTGTGCTGCAGCTGTATAGTTCCTACAATATACATGATGGAAACCAGCATAAAGCCCTTAAATCGAGACATATGGCAAAGTATGATATTGCTCACCATTAATTATGACTGACTTCTGTCATTTAAATCAACTGCAGTTTTAAAATGTTTAGTCAAAACAGATCGGTCATAGAATTAGTTCTGATTAGAAAAACTGTTCTGTACTTACTGAGGCAGCAAGGAGCCTCTAACAAGAGACAGAAGTTTGTTGCTTGAGTTAAGGATCTCTTTCTCTTCAGCCATAACCTCATGACTAACAAGCAGTGATGTGGTTTCAGAGAGCAACCGCAAACTGAAGAGTCTCCATTCCACTAGAAAAAAAATCAATGTGCCAAGTATGTAACCATGCTGACATTTAATTAAAGCAAAATGGGCATTTTAATTGATGTGGTGATGTACTTACCATTTTGACTAGAGACCAAAGTAACTAAGGGTGGCAGGATGTGATCTATAACCTGAAAAGGAAAAAAGAACAAACAGAAAAGTTCTGGCTCATATTATTCCAAGATAAAAAACATAACTCCCATATACTGCAATCTCTCTTTTCTGAATTAAAAAAAAACAGCAGGCAGCAGTAATACAATATATGGCTTTAACTGCTAATTGTACTGTAGTACAAAAAGTTGAAAACGTAATAAATGCATTCTAGAGGAGGATGCAGGTTTGTAGTAGATTAATAAATTAACACATCACAGAACCATTACATTAATTAGCCTCAGCAGGACTGAGCATTAGTCATGTCCACAAAATTCATTTCTCCTGTTTCATTCGTTTATTTCATTTACTTCATTCATTCAGAGGCACAGAATGGGAAGGCCCCTTCCGGTACGAAAATAAACTCAACACAAAAGCAGGCGGGAGGGGGTACAGGCTCCAAGCCTGCTTTTTGGCATCACAGTTAAAAAAGAGAGAAGAGGGATTGCGCCCAGGGTGAAAAAAAGCAAGTTCCACCACCATTTCTCACTGCGTTTCCCCCTTCACTTCAAGGAGAGTGCGTGTGTTTCATGCATGCCTAAAGCACCCATGCCAGCCAGGGCCTACAGCTGAGTGTTGAGTAAGAGCACCTCTTACTCAGCACTCAGCTGCAGGCCCTGGCAGGCATAGATGCTTTGGGTCTGCATGCTACACATGCACTTTCCTTGGAAAGTGAGTGTGTGTGCGGCATGCAGACCCAGAAAGCACCCATGCTTACCAGTGCCTTTCTGGGCCTGCACGGTTGCGGAGTAAGGCTGCTGGCAAACACGATGGAGGGCAAACCCCAGCAAGCCACCAGCAAATGTGGAACGTCCCAGCCCCGTGCCAAGGATCCCACAGAGGGCCCACCCCTGGCTCTGATGAAGAGACCTCAGTAGTGGTGCAATAATAATAATAGTAATAAAATAATAACAATAATCTTTATACCCTGCCACCATCTCCCCAATGAGGACTCATTGGGGCCAAGCCTGAACAACATTTTACAGCAGAATAAAACCAAAACATGCAAGGTAGGTTTCCTGACTGAAGGGGGAAATGGCAGCAAGAAATGGCAGTGGAGCTGGCTAGTTTTTCACCCTGAGTGCAATCCCTCTTCTTTCCTCTGTCTCGGGGAAAGAGACAGGCCCCAACCAGGGATCCCTTTTGACTCTCCAGATGAAGATGAGCCAAACCCTGACAAAATGCCTCCTTAAAGAGTGCTCTGGGAAGGGGAGCCTGGGTGGGAAACCCCCTCCCCCATAATGGGCCACAAAAAAAAAAAAACCTGCTGCTGCTGCCTCACCAAACTACAAATCCCAACATTGCATAGCATTGAGCCAGGACAATTAAAAGTGCTGTCAGACATGAAGGAGAAGTGAAGAGATATCAATAGAAAGAGAAAGAAAAGAAGGGTGGAGAGGGATCAACTGGAAGAAAGAGAAAAGGGACTTGGGAGAAATATCTGTAAGAGGAAAAGAGGTTTGGAGAGATATGGATAGAAAGAAAAAAGAGTTTGGAGAGATAGGAAGAAATGAGGAAATGGGTTTGGAGAAATCGATAGGAAGAACAGGAAAAAGGGGTTTGGAGAAACCAACAAAAAGAAAGGGGAAAGGGGGTTTGGAGAGATATTGACAGGAAGAAAAAGAAAAGGCGATGGAGAGATCCGTAAGAAGAAAAAGGAAATGTGATTTGGAGAGATATTGATAGGAGGAAAAGGGAAAGAGGGTGGAGCTCAGTGCTAAGATTTCATGGCGGGGAGGGAGGGGAGAGACCCTTTTGAATTGTATATAAGTCAGATGTTCATAACTTGAGGATTGCCTGTACACTCATTCATCAACTGGATTGGCTTTTTTTCAATTTATCACCAAAACAACTTGATAAATGGACTAAGAGATTATCCTCTCAAATACTCCTACACATTAGAACGATGTGGTAGTACTGTTGTTTCAAAACTTGAGAAGCTGGAAAAGATTAGGATCCATTCTTGTACAATAGTTCATTGAAATCTCATAGTCAATTACAAAGAAAATGTGTACCCAATAAGACCTAAATACAAAATCAGCTTAATTACAAAGGCAGAGATATACAGCACTGTGCCATAAAAGTGTTAGAAGGTGATTACTGAAATATCACTCTACTGACATTTACTTACATCATATTAAATTCATACTTAGTTAACATGTAATTTATGTTGACAATGACAGTAATACAATGCTGCCCGGTGCAAAAAAAGGGAACTATGTCAACCATGCAATTGAATGATACTGATTGTATAATTATACACAATTAAAATCAAGTACTTGCAGGCCAACTAAAAATGGCTGTAAACATAAAGAAGCATAACTATATCCTTATTGTTAAAGCTTTAAAATTTCTAATAAGTTATTTTGTTCTCCTATTGTCCACAATTTAATGTAGCTTTAAAACCAATTTTTGTGAATACCAGGAAATCTATTGACACTCACAAGTCCAGCTTCTGGGATTAATCTTAAATACTTCTAGTCAGGGGAGAATATATATAGTAAAGAAGTTTTATATTTAAAGTATTGATCTGGAACTGTGAACCCGTCTTGTTTCAATTAGCAGGAAAGTAACAAGTTGCTTTGGGCAATGAATGTTGTATTAACAGATTTCAAGTCATGCTCAACTACCAATTAGAAGATATCTCATAAATGAGAATGTTGCTAGAATGCTTTATGTGTCACGCAAGGAATACGCTATATTAATCTACAATGTCTGGAAACAATGTATTCCAGATAATTGGAATACATTGGAATAGGGCCTGGCTTAGCACAGCAGGCTAAACCATTGTGCTGTAGAAAAGTCCTGCCAATCAAAAAGTCAGCAGTTACATCCCGGGTTGGGATGAGCACTCACAGTTAGTCCCAGCTCAACTAGCAGGTTAGAAGCAGAAATATGAGTAGATAAATAGGTACCACTTTTAGTGGGGAGGTAAGAAAGGTGTCCTTGAGGACATCAATGCTCCTTGGCATGGAAGATGGAGAGACAGCACGCCTCTCCGGTGACCAGAGTTGATCACAGCATCCAAGATGCCAGAAATAAAATTAGAACAACTGCCTTTACCTCTGTTTGTGTTTGTCTGTCCTTGTTAATAATATAATTGTATAAAGTGTATAATTGGCATTGAATGTTTGCCATATGTGTGTATTCTGTAAGCCGCTCTGAGTCTCCTTCGGAGTGAGAAGGGCGGGGTAGAAATACTGTAAATAAATAAATAAATAAATAAAATCATACACATTTTGTTACTGGTCATACTGCTAACACCTACTAAAGTCAGGGAGAAGTTATCATAGATGCCTGTATGAAAAAAAGTTTAAACAAACGTTGCTAGAATGCAATTGCATACTTCATTTTCATTTGTTATGCATGACACATAAATATATTTTATGTATTTATAACCAAACACGAATGAGAATTTGTTCCAAATATGATATATAGTAACCACATGTTTGTACGAATATTCATTTTCAATCTCTTGAATAGTAAGTACAATTCTGTTTAACAAGGAAATGAATGTGCTTATTATCGAGATCTCAGCATACCCTTACAACCCTTTAAAATACTGTTTTTATGCAAATTAACCCTACTATGTTGCAAGAAGGAAGTTTTAACTAAGTATGAATGCTAGGCATATTCACTATTATTATCTTCATAGAGGTAGAGAGGGGTACAGTGATAGACTAAGCAGGAAGTATATTTTGGGACTTCTAATTCTAAAATCAAGTATTTAGTGTGCATTATATGCAATATAATAAAAAAATTGAATGAGATGCCAAACACACGTATACTGCCAATAAGTGACTATCAATCATCTAGTATTTATCAGGTGCTTAAGGAATAATAGTTATTTTCATAATCTACTTATTGTCATAATCTAATACATCACTAGGTCACAATCTGCTTATTTTTTATCCTTTCATAAATTAACAAGGGAGAAAAAAATAAACATTTTAGCCTTCCCTATAATTATGTCAACAAAGAAAAAAGGGAACCATACAATTTAGTAACACACAATTATAAGCTTTACAGAACAAGATAGAAAAATGATTAACAAGGAGCTGGGGAGATCGTGAAAATTGGTTATGATTTTCAGCAACATACATGAAAACTAGCACCTTCTACAATCTAACATTGTTCATTTTTCTATGCTAGAAACAGTGAAACCCACTGTTTTGCCTATTAGCTGTGCAAGATCTCCCTCTGATGGTTCAGTGAATCAAAGGAGAATTTATTCACCTTTACAAATTAAAATTGGACTTCTGATTCAGCATTATTGCCATAGCTACACAACATGATCGATCATTCATAGCTTTAAAATACAATGTTTTATTTTCTTCATATTGTTGAATAAAGTATGAACAGCCTACAATGTATCATACTGAGTGTTGCCCTGGATCCCATGACAGCAAACAGAAATTAAACAAAAAAAAATAAATATCATAGGTTGAAATTAAAACCACAATATTTGGCTATTTAATTCTCACATGCCTGGATGAATAATGCTATAAAAGAAAACAAGTATTTCTGAGCAGTTCTTGAATGTTACGTGTTTCAGGGAATAGTTCTGTGCCGAAAATCACAGGTTCTACTGCAGAAAGAGGGGCTGCGGGGGCACAGCGGGTTAAACTGCTAAGCTGAAGAACTTGCTGACCAGAAAGAAGGTTGGTGGTTCGAATCCACAGGACAAGGTAAGCTCCCATTGCTAGCCTCAGCTTCTGCCAACCCAGTAGTTCAAAAACATGCAAATGTGAGTAACTCAATAGGTACCACTTCGGCAGGAAGGTAACAGCGCTCCATGCAGTCATGCTGGCCACATGACCTAGGAGGCATCTACAGACAACACCGGCTCTTCGGCTTAGAAATGGAGATGAATACCACCTCCCAGAGTCAGACTCAATTAGACGTAATGTCAACGGGAAACCTTCTTTTTGACTGCCGAAAACCAGTTTCCAGACAGTGTGAAATTGGGGGGAGGGGACACGAGAAACATGATCTTTCTGCAAAAGAAAGCAGTATAACTTCCAAAAACACTTTAAGAATGCAACCACCAAGCAAAAACTGTGCAAAATTCTCACCTCTGAGTTTTCTCAACTTTAGAGAACTCTTCCTTTTTTTGGTTGGAAAACAAATAGTAGTGAAGCTACTGGCAAACAAATGTAGTATGGTGCAAAGTATTTATTATTTTTGACAGTTGTGCTAAATTATCAAGAAAAAGTATTTTAAAGCCATGAATGTAATCATTGTGATTGATGTAGAAATAATCCATTTATTACTGAGGGTACAGACAATAAGAATGCTAGTGTTTATATGATATCGGGACTTACTGTTGCATGGTGAGGCATCAGCAATACTGGATGTTGAATTATTGCTTCAAATGTTGATAAAGTTATTTTAATCAGTTCTTCTGTACCTGTTTGACCTGTTGATGAAAAATCATAGCACATCTTCTTTAATACAAGAAGAAAAATGCTTATGTTTAAATAGTATTGCAAATATCCCAAAGGCTCTTACCTATTGGTCCATCTAAGTTAGTTTCTCCTGAATCTATTAATACGACAAAATTCTGTTGTCAACGCAGGGTGGAAAAGAATGCACAAATAATAAAAAAGTTAGCACATTTTTCTTCTTTTTAATGACTTGTATCTTTGTTAAACACAAACAATGTCGAATATAGGCAGCCCCTGTAGTTTAAGTAGCAGAATATCCCTACACATGGAGTATAGTTTTTTAAAAACTTTGCTACCGATAATACATTGTATTCAATTGGATTTATATCTAAATAAATGCTGTACAAGGATGAAGCATCAATGTTTCAGATTCAACAGCTGATAACATAACTTTGAAACATAAAAAGGAGGAAGGAATGGGCTTGAAGGGGGGGAAAAGAAATGTGACACCACATTTAACTGGCTTTTATTTTCACAAGAGCCTTTGTGAATGTAAACTCATATTGTGGAAAGATATATATTATATACCCATGAAAATGCATACAAAAATAAAAAACAGATTGTCTTAAATGTGCTGCTATATTTCTTTTTTGCCTTATTTCTTTCTTCCTTTATATGCTGCAAGAGATTAACACAATTCCTTCTTTGGAAAATACCATAATTTTGGAAATCAGATGAAGCTCAGCAATATCAAAACTACAGGATGCTAAAAAATAAACATGAGATAATTACCAATTTTTTAAAGATATGAGCATTATTAGTAGATCAAACTTTGTTTTAAAAAAATTCAATTTCAGGATACAGCTATGCTAAAATAATTATACTCTGGAAATACAGTATTTTTCATTTTTATCACTGTTGTGAACTCATCACATAATACCTACCCTACTTGCAGAAAGAATTACAGAAATGTATACTTTCCCACATTTTAAGAATAACCCTAGTAAATCATCTTTCTGAGGTAGAGTAAAAGAGGGAGTGGGAGAAGCTTGGGGAGGTGAAAAGCATCAGCAAGTTGTTGAAAATCAGAACTGTAGATGCCTGGAAACAAACCCCATACATTTGGGGCCTAGTGAAGACATTGTCTTGCTGTAAATAACAAGGTAATACTCAACTGCTAGTCTGTTTAGCTTCTGTAAATTAAGTGTGTGAATGGGGCGGGGGGTGACTTGTACTTCAGCTGAGGCATTCAAATGGCTCTGGGAATAATAATGATAATAATAATAATAATAATAATAATAATTATTATTATTATTATTATTCTTTATTTATACCCCGCCACATCTCATCAAGGGGACCCGGGGTGGCTAACATGAGGCCAAGCCCAGCAATACAATACATCAGTATACACAGGACACAGCAATAAAATCAGGAAGTAAAAATAAATACAAAACCATTATAAATAACACATCAAACAAAATAAAGTCCAGTTACAACATGGAAATTTTAGTCTGCCAAATAAATGCATGATGCCATTAAATTACTCATTAAAATTTGAATGTTGAAACCTCATCATGTGAGGAATATGCTATAGATTTTCTGTTCACACTTACATTTTCATGTTTTGAACTTTTGAAAGCCATCTATATGAAAATAGGATTAATTTGAGACCTCTCTGTTCTGCACAATAACAACTTCAGATAGGATGCAACCTCATGTACTTCATGACAAACTGTTAAAACTACTGTAGCATGGGCATTCTTTACAAAGTTTTCTGAAATTGGTCAGATCAGATCTTTTCATCAAAAGCATCTGTCCTTTTTCCATACAGACAATCGCAGTTTGTACTGACTAAATGATGAACAAAATTTTTGGAATTCATAATGACAAAAAAGAGCACAAGCCATAACTATACACAAGATTTTCCAGAGGCTGGCTGTTTTATCATAGAGAAGAAAAGCATCCGAGTTGGAGTGAGAGAAATAATTTGGCATTCAAAGTGCCAGTTACAGGTAGAAAGCTGATAAAAGTATATGGTTAGAAAAGCCCTATGCCAACTCCTACAAATTCCAACTGTAATGGAACAATAAGGAAACTTCTGAGAGTCAAATACTGCTGGAAACGTGTAAGAATGACTGCTATGAGCTCAGGTAGAGTAAGGTATACACCATCTTGAAATGTTAGCAAAGATTAAGAATGATAGCTTGTAAATGGAAGACAGGATTGCTATGACAACAAAGTAGAAAGCAAACTGTTGAGAAACTAATAAGCAGACACTAGGAGTGGTGACTATTTCACAAGTGGGGTTACTATGGAATCAGCTATTCTAACATTTTCCTTTTAAGAAATACCACTGGCTGCTAATCCAATAGGACCTTTCTGCAAAACATTCATAGCACAGCACTTTATTCTATTTTTCTCAAGAGTTTTAAATCAAAATAAATGACAATGCTGTTCATTTTCCTTGGTAGAATAGTGTGACAAATAGAAGGTAATATAGCAGACTCTCTATTAAAACAGGCATACTCTGTCAAGTATGCACAAGGATCCCTACGCTGGAGTAATGACTAGTTCCACTAGGATCACAAAAGCATGTTTTTACTCATAACTAACAACCAAAGGTCTGTAATGTTAACTACAAACAAACTAGCAAAACAATTCCAACAAAAAAGATTAGAAAATAATAATAATAATAATACCAACTTTATTTCTTATCCGCCTCTCCTTGCCACTCTCTCCCAACTAGACAATATTTCTCCTTCCTTCCCTACCCAGGTGGTTCCCTTCCCTTTCCACAACAATCTATTTACTCCAATGTACTTTCTCTCCCATTGGGCTAAGTGCTCTTTGTCTTTCCTTACCTATCTAGGTGCTCTTCCTCCCTCATTCAAACACTGTTTTGTTCTCTACCTTCTGTGGTGCTCCAATTTGTCCCATGAGTCTTCTTTTTCATGCTAGTTTTTGTCTTCCTCCCTCCCTCCCTTCAATTAATTGATCAGGTTTTTTTCCCGCCTTCCCTTATCAGGCGGAATAGTTTGGGAGTACCATAGTGCAGTTGTGTCCAGTATATTTTGCCTGGTGTGCCTCTGGCCCATGTGATCCTAGCTTATGAAAGCTTTCTAACTCACCAGGACCCCCAAGGGGGAATAGAAGTAAAAATATTTTGGAAACATTAAATATTCTGTAGTTAGTGTGTGATTTCTGTAGTTAGCTATATTTCAGATCTCCAAAGCAATTTCTATGACTACTACTGGAAGATGCTACCATAGGAAACACACACATCAAAATTAATTAAAACTCATTAACACATTTAAAACATAACCCCAAAGCACACACTTCTGGGGTCCCATTAGTATGCGCACCAAATCCCAGCTATTTTGTTTCATTGTCTTGGAGTTACACACAAAGAAGTCCTTCCATGACAGAGTACTGCAGTCTGCTGTGTATGTAACATTCACCTCAGTAACTACTCTGGTGACATGTATATCCACTTAATTTTGTTTCAAAAGAAAGATGATCCTTTTAGAAGATATAACTGTCATCTGACAGCAGCTGTGACAAGTTGTAGCTGAAACTAACAATACGAAATGGAAGTAGTGCTTCATTTTAACTGCAGCCCTTTGTGGCACCCTGGAAATCTCAATACAGATCTTATTGTTAATATCAAAGCTGTAGAGCTGACACTGAGTGTGATAAACGTCTGGGTTTTCTAGTTTATACAACTTTCATCAACTAAATATAACATAAATGTTCTGGCAAAGAGAGAAAAAAAGAATGTAATTTTTGCAAACAGCATCCTAAGCAAACAAAACAATGTTTCAAAGTAAATATTACCAAAAAAAATGAGAAAGAATCTTTCATTTCTACTCATACTTCCATTTTAAAGTTTGATCCCAGGGATATTGTTAGTTACTATATTAATAAAAATTACCAGAAATATTTTATTATTCAAAATATTTGATAGAAAAGATTTCTCCTCCCATTTACAATACTCTCAACAAGGCTGGTTTTTACTATACCCTTAGTGTAAGTGGATGAGAGATTTTTGGTAAGTCATTTAAATACATAATATGTACAACTGTCAGCTAACAGGCAAGTAAAATGGCATTCCTTAAAGCCTCACAATGAAGTTACATCTGAGCCAGGATACATTGCTCCCTGACATAAAGAGCAAGGTAGGACCACCATTACCCTATGCAATGTACAGTAGATAATCAGACTCAATGTTGAATGGTACTTCAAAGCTGGCAACATAATGACATCTTCCACTACATTTGAGGTTAGGAGGCTACTGTATAACATACTGAGCTAGCTATGTGGCACAGAGTTCTGCCCTTCAACATTTCATTGTTGCTTCCATTTCTCCAGCATCCGTTTCATCAGGTGGTAATTCTAATCCACTGGTGGCAGAACTAACCCCCATCAATAACAAGCAACAAAACTAATGTCATAATGACGTTGTGACACCAAGATTATGTGACATCCAAGAAACAATGGTAATTCTAGAGATTAACGGTAAGGTTGCTGAAGAGAGAACTGCCATGTGGCATCAAGATTACAATGATCGGTACAACAATGGACATCTGATGGGTAACAACAAACTTGAATGCAAAGTGTAGCATCTTCAACAGAGTAAACTATACATTTCTGGATTATTATAAATTATCACTTGTGGATAAACTTAATTAATTTGAATTAGAATATATTTTAGTTTTAATTATTTTATTATTTTAATTAAAATGTCACAATCAATGAAAAGTAAAAGTTTAAAAATGCATTTTAGAATATTTCTGTAGGAAAAGTCACACAAATAGTTCTTTCTCAAAGCAAGTGGAGTAATCTTAAAGTTAAATTATTTTGTATGTACTGTTAATATATTACCCATACAAATTCAACTTTCATACAAGTTGTTCTCATTTTGGTTATATGTATCCATTATCTTGAGACTGACTTTAGATTACTTACCAGTAAAGTTCCATAGCTGAAAAGAAACTCCTCATTTACAATTTGTGGACGAAATACCTGTGAGCATAAGAGTTTGAAAAAACATTAATATGTACTTGGAAGTTGTTGTAAGCACTGTATGTAATATAATTTGGGGTCAAGGATTTCTTACCTTTCTAAGTCAGTGGGTACATCTGGAATTTTGAGTGGGCACTCATGGCTAATATCAAAGCATTCATGACCAGGGCAGAAAATGACTACAAGCTAACGTGGCCAAAAATAGACACACATGACAAAGAAGTAATCCCTGCCATGTGGGTTAACACTTACTCTGACACACTACAGGCAAGATTCACAATTTTGCTTTTCTGTAAACTTTCTGTTGACTCCCTTTCTCCTTTTAAGGAGCTGGGCATGTTTAGCCTGAAGAAGAGAAGGCTGAGAGGGGATATGATAGCCATGTATAAATATGTGAGAGGAAGCCACAGGGAGGAGGGAGCAAGCTTGTTTTCTGCTTCCCTGGAGACTAGGACACGGAACAATGGCTTCAAACTACAAGAGAGGAGATTCCATCTGAACATGAGGAAAAACTTCCTGACTGTGAGAGCCGTTCAGCAGTGGAACTCTCTGCCCCGGAGTGTGGTGGAGGCTCCTTCTTTGGAAGCTTTTAAACAGAGGCTGGATGGCCATCTGTTGGGGGTTATTTGAATGCGATGTTCCTGCTTCTTGGCAGAATGGGGTTGGACTGGATGGCCCATGAGGTCTCTTCCAACTCTTAGATTCTATGATTCTATGATTTTCTTCAGTTGATCAATGAGAAACAGATTAGAAAATGAGAGATCTGACTTACCATGAATGATCATTTTTGGATATCTGCAGGAGAAATCCATGACGCATGAGTTTCTCCCCATGCACCGACAGCTCAAAGGAGGAGTCTACAATAATTTTCTTTAGGAATGTTGATTCTCCTTTCCTCTGATTTTTAATTTCCCGCCTTTCCAAAACATTTGTTTTTTTACTTTTTTCCATCCCTTTTATTCTTTAGATTAGCAAAATTTAAAAAAATTAAGGAAAAGAGAAATATACTTGATTTAAAATTATAGATAGTAATCCAAAAATGCTGTTGCTGTCTGAGAAAAAGACAAGTGGAAGACTATTTAAATAAACCACCAACTCCTGTGACCAACCACAGCTCAGCAGGTTATGGAGCAATAGACAAATAAAAATGCAGATCTATTGTCTTCAGAAACAAGCAAGAGTGACTCAGAAGAGTCAATCCTAAAATCACCACCACAGAAAAATAAACTGTGGGCAGAATCTATAAAAGGCTTCAGACAAAGCTTCATCACTGACAGTAAAAGACAACAAAAAGGGACTAGAACTAGTTATAAAGGGAAAGAAAAACACAAAGGGAAGAATAACTGAGCTCAATGACAAATACATTAGAAAAAGTAGATATCTCACTTGTCATGAAAATTGAAAATACTTTTGCAGCTATCTAACTGGATAGGAGGAGAACATTCTAGACACTCTTGCAAGTCTTCATCAAATGTGTCTATGACAATGGTGGGACCAGGACCCTCCCCCCAAAGATCTTAAAACTCAAGCCAGGCTCATATAGGGAGATACAATGTTTAAAGTAGTCTAAACTCAAGCCATATAAAGCTAAAGTTTATAACCAGCACTTGGAACTCTCTCCAGAAAGACTGATTAGCTACTGAAACTGTTGCAAGAAGGGAACTATGTATTCCCTATAATCAGCCCCAGGCAGCAGATTGGCTGCAGCATTTTGGGACCACTGAAATTTCTGAAGTTCGTGAAGTGGCTACTGTATCTGGTTTGAGTTTTTTTTATTAGTTTAAAATGCCCTACATTTTTGATATCTGGTTACCTGAGAGACTGTCTTCTCTCTAAAAACCCTTCTAGTTGTATCATATGAAGGTTTACATTGGGTTATTTTTGTGCCATTTTGGAAACTCTAAATAGTTAACAACATGGCAGTCAGACTATTTACTGAAACATCTAGGAGTAAGTACAGCAATATTAAAGCCATATACTGGTTGCCAATTAGTATATAAAATATAAGGTGTTGGTTTTGAGCTTTAAAGCCCTGCATGGTTTGGGTCCAGGTTACCTACAGGATCGCATTCTCCCATATAATCCACCCCAAACACTGAGGTCCTCTGGGGAACGCTTACTCCAACCAGCCAGAATCTGACTGGCAACCAGAACCCACAGGACATTTTCATTGGCGGCCTCAAAATTGTGGGATGATCTGCTGGAAGAGCTTTGACAGCTAAACCAGCTGTCAAAATTCAAGATACAACTGAAGATCTATCTCTTCAAGCAGCCTATCTAGTCAATTTTAAATTTACATTCTATGACTATTGTGTTTTAATCTTTGTTCCGTATATTTTAATGTGAAAATTTTATAGAAATATGTTTTAATATATGTATTATAATGTTATGATATGTTTTAAGCATGTTGTGTCCCACCTCAAGCTAAGTGGAAAGACAGGTAACAAAATATAATAATAACAATAACAATATAAGTTTTGGACATGACTTAGGCAGGAGATAGAAAACTGAAAGGTTAGGGAAAGGAGTCCACAGGGAGGGTTCCTGAGAATATCATGTGACACCTGCCCCTAGATTAGCAGGGTAAAGGTTAACTCAGATGTAGTGGATTGCCTCTGCAAGAAAAACATCTATTTTCCTAAACACAATCAAATGAGAAAGGGGAAATAACTTGCCCTAAAACCTACATCTAGAGCAGATCTGAGGTCTGAGATCTGAGGCTCTCTAAGTTCGTACATAAGTTTGTAAGGCTTTCTGTCATGGCTTTATGAATACATGACAGCTTGCAGTGAGAGAAAATGAACCATGAAAATGTGACATGTTTCATTAGTGTAATAAAATCAAAGTGGATTTTCCCCTTAAAAAAAGAAATAAGCAAGGAGAAATTCTGGACAGAGTACAAAACAAGCCACCTACAACAACCTGTGATACTGTTTGCTTTGGTTTTTTGCAAATAATACCTGGGATGTCATAAGATGGAGGACCACAGGCATCATAGGAAGGCACCCTTTCAGCTGTTTGGTTTGAACTGTTGATGGATGCTTACGTCCTGATACATTGGATAAAGCAGAAATAATGTCACCTACAAAACAAATTAAAAAATAAATACATTAGATTAACACTGGGTTTTTTTAAAAAAATTACCTTGAAATAAACACAGAAGAACTGACTGCTAAGAAAACATCCCCATGAAAGTGCTGTTAAGTTTGTTTTGGTTACTTCTAAATCAAGTTTAGATTTACCCTTCATGTCTATCTGTCTTAGATACTAACATCTAAATCCAGTTACTATTGCCAATTAGAACACATCCCTGAGTCAATGAGACACACGTAAGTGTTCAAGTTCCAATTGATTCAAAAGGTCTCAATGGATCTTAACAAGCAAATTTAGCCTTAAAAACCTTATTTATTCAAGTAACGCACTCTTTTTTTGGCTAAAATTGAGGTGCATGTTAGCTCTGATGTTGCACGTTTGTTAAGTCGGAACAGGTACATTTTTTCTAGTGTAACTCCAGCCATTATTTGGATAGCATAGGGAAGGGTTAACATTCCAGTGGTGTTTGTTTTGCTGTCCGTGCCCCTGTTCCGAAGATTTCACCTCACTTTCTCTTCCTAAGATAATTGGATTTTGGAAAATTTTGCTTGTTGTGGAAACAAGGATTGGGGATAAAGCGTCAGTTGAGAAACCTTTTCCCCAGATAACTCTTTCAGGAGTGTATTCCCTTTCAGAGGAATAGATTTCTCTCCTATCATCTCACCCCATTCATAACTATGAATCTTTTGTAAGTCAGATTTTTGTAGCTAGGAGACTTCCTATATCCATCCTCTTTTTCCTCCATAGTGACTCCCACCTTAGAAAATACTATTGTATTTTGTAATAAGTCATTTCATCTCATGATATGCCTCAAAAATGATAGCATCAAGTAAGTTATCTTTTTCTAGCAAAAATCAGGCTTGATTTATTTGATATTTTGGCAGCTCTGCCCAACTGCGCTCCCCTTTCCCCCAAGTTTTAGAGGGCTGCCTTGGGGGACAAAGTGTGGCTGAAATACAATGAAATACAGTATCCTGTTTTGGTATGTGATCCATTTCCCTCTGGACATTTCCCTCTAGCACAGAATGTTTAAATTTCACTTTTTTCTTCTCTGTAATTAAACCTTAAACTTGGATTCTGGTTATATTGATAGGTTTTCCCAATATTTATATTATTCAATCAAAGTTTGCACTATATCCCTTGACTGATTTTGGCTCATCACCCCCATTAATGCCACTCCATTTCATCTTTGATTGCCATTTCCTGAATAAAACACTTTATGTACTTTATTGAAAATGTTTCATACCTGCCCATTTTTATCCCAGCACGTTTTGCAACGTTTGTATGTTCCATTTCTGGTATACAATGTTCAGTTTTTCAGATTCATGCTTCTGACATTTCAGGTCCCTATTTTATGCAGATTTGGACTTTTCTTTCACATCTGAGCATAAGTGGAATCGTCCTTTGGGCATGAGTCCAGCTGAATCATTAGTCACAGTGCTACTGGCACTTGTCCTCTGCTCTTCCCTAGTAGCCTTTTAGTGTCTGAGTCTAAGCTTGCAGCATGATCTCTTGTTTCATTTTGAATTATTCCATCATAGGGCTTCAGGTGTATTTTGACATCAGCTGAAATATGGGTATTATACTTCTTCTTCTTCTGTCATGATTGCATTTCATCATGGATACTTGTTAGTCCGTGCCTGCTGTAAATTATGCTGTTTCTATTTATGGAGCCGGCCCAGCAAGAGGTCCTAAAGTTAAATGGGGCTTTGATGTTGGTCAAGATGTTGGGTTTTTTTTATAATAATAAATACCAAAATGGCAATGTGGGTTGCCTTCCTCCCTGAAGGAAATGAGGAGGCAAGAATGGTGGGTGGGCAAAATGGCAGGTGGGAGTTTTCCTCAGGAGGTAAAATGGCAGGAATGAGGCAAAAATGTCTTTACTAATAATATAATATAATATATTGTGTATACATATAATATTTATTATAATATTATAATGTAATAAAATATAATACTAGTAGTAATAATAATAATAATACAATATTATAATTAAATATTTATATTACATGTAATATTACTATTAATATTACAATATAATGGTATAGTGCAGTATAGTAATATAGAATACTGATATTGTATTGTACTATGCTAATAATGTAATATATTGTATGTATATATATCTTGTAAGCTGCTCTGAGTCCCCTTCGGGGTGAGAAGGGCAGCATAGAAATGTTGTAAATAAATAAATAAATAAAGGTAAAGGTTTCCCCTTGACATTAAGTCTAGTCATGTCCAACTCTGAGGGGTGGTACTCATCTCCATTTCTAAGCCGAAGAGCTGATATCTGTAGACACCTTCAAGATCATGTGGCCAACATGACTGCACGGCACACCATTACCTTCCCGCCAAAGCGGTACCTATTGATCTACTCACATCTGCATGTTTTCGAACTGCTTGGTTGGCAGAAGCTGAGGCTAACAGTGGGAGCTCACCCTGGATTCCAATAGTGGAACTTTTCATCAGCAAGTTCAGCAGCTCAGCGGTTTAACCCACTGTGCACTGGGGTCTCCGTTTGTTAGTCATAACTAAATAAAAACTCATACTACTACCCATTACTATTACTTACAGAACAATTATATTCATAACTCTCCAGATTTTGAATAAAGAACTGTACCTTCCTCACAGATTTTTATAAAACTCATTTCAGATCATTCTACCAACCATGAGGCTTTATGCATACATTCTGAGGTGGGATCTTCTTAGCATTGCTTTGAATCTTAAAGTCTCAGGAACAATAATTTAGTTCTTTCCTTCGATGTCACAGTCCCGACAAAAATAATTTCTTCCAATTGCTGTTCGCACAGATAGGAAACTACAATCAGACACTGATATCTTCAGCAACAATCTGAAATTAGTGTTAACTTTTTAAAAAGTCATGACACAAAGCTACTGGCACTTGGGAAAGGGATGAGAAAATAAAAAGGAAATGTGCCGAGTTTGGTATAGATGAAGAAGAGTCATGGAGAGGGCTACATATAATTTGCTTTGTGGATACTCCACTTTCACTGAGATAACAGATCTTTATTTCTGTATTGATTACTATAATATCCCCTCTCATCCTCTGCTACCATACTCCCCTGGGTATATTGAACGCTGGTCATTTTACTCAGATTATTTGTGATATGATGTGTCGCCCCCTCTTTGTCTGTGTGTGTGTTCCTGACTCATGTCTCTTCTTCACTTCTGTGCCTGTGGCAACACAATGTCCCCTCTCAAAATATATAAATATAAAGATGAGATCATGATTATGTTTTAGCCCCAATGTAGGAAATGAAGTAATATTAATAATTATCTATTCCTTGATCAAAATCAGTTTTACCTACAGTTTAAAAGCTATATTGTGGGAAAAGTAACAGATCAGTGAGAATTTTGTCCCAGTTTCTAATGGCCCAAAGTGTTGTGGAAGAATTATTCTGTAGGGGAAAAAGTGAGTTTCTGTACAAAAGTCAGGATTATTAATGAAAAACGCTACACATTTTTCTCTTGTCAAATAATACCCCCATAACAAATTGGGGCACTCAAATACAGGGACAATACTGCAGAGGAATATTTGTTTTCTCTCACAGTAGGGCCCAAACTAGTGTAATTATTTATCTTTGCATACAAGGACAACAAAGGGAGGCAGAATTTTTCATGAAAGCAACCAGGAATATAAAAACAGAAAAATCAAGGGGGGTGGGTGGGTTAAGTGACAGAAAAAGCAAGCAAAACTTGTCCAATATAACTAGCTTCAATGTGTCTGAAAAAGAAAACTGAACATCAAGATTCCAGAATAGCTCTATCAGTCTCAACCATAACCAAAACATTGTCCTGAATTAATTGGAAATCTAAAGCTTTACATCTACGTAGGTCTGGAGGACTGGTCATGCCAACTGCTAAAGGTATCCAGTTAGTTTGTATATACCGTCATGATCAATTATATCACCTTGTTGTGCTTAATAATTGCATAAAATCCATATTCAATAAAATTGAACTATCTTTACTTTTGTGAGGTAAGGTTTTCTGCTTTAAGTACACAGCGTAGTACATAGTTAACCCCGACAAACTCTTACATTGACCGCTGTCAACTCCAAACTGCAGACATTACTGACCTTATCATGTAGTCTGCTTCCACCATGGAACAATTTATATGTGACACAGGGAAGGTGTTTCCCTATTGAATTCAGCAGTTCCTGTAAAGGGAGCTGCATAGCAAGGACGACATAGCTTGCAAATTAGATATGCTTTCAGCAGAAGTGGCAAAATTCACAGTTTGAACTGCTGACACTCAGGCTGAAAGGCAATTAATCAGTCTTTAATAAGCATGTTTAGAGTCAATAAAAATGTGCTGCAGTGACTTTCCGTTTTAAAATAAACAGGTTTGAATGTGTGGTTCATAGCTACACCTACTGGAAAAGATGAAGACTTTAATGCTATTTACATAGAAATGCATAGAAATTTGACACTGGCAATTAAGATAATTATATACTATTCACAAGCATGAATAACAACCATCCAACCAATTTTTTCAGGAAAAGGGAAACTTTTCGGAGGAAAGAATTTGTAGTAGAGATGTAGAATATAATGAAGCAGTCCTTCCTTTCCCTGTAGGGTCCAAACAAGTTTCTATTGATACCACTAAAACAAAATTTCTGTATACATTAATAATGTCTAACTTATCTTTTCTCACATGTACTAGTTTTGATATTACTTTTTAGGAGTAGTAATACTGCCAGTATCCAAGATGAAAGCTAACCCTGCTATTCCTCTGTTCTCACAATAGTTTAGGGCAGGGGTCTTCAAACTTTTTAAGCAGAGGGCCGGTTCATGGTCCCTCAGATTATTGAGACACCAGACCATAGTTTTTTTTAAAAAATAAACACATTCTTAGGCACATTGCATATATCTTATTTGTAGCGCAAAAATGAAAGAACAATACAATACTGATAATAATAATAATAATAATAATAATAATAATAATAATAATAATAATCTTTATGTATACCCCACCCTATCTTCCCAAGGGGACTCAGGGTGGCTTACAATAATATAAAACACAATGGCAAACATTTAATGCCAGTTAAATAAATAAAAAACAGCTTAAATGAACATGACATAATACATTTAATACATTCCTCATATTAAATCAATTAAAACTCTTAATATCCGATTAAATAATTGGGGTTGAGATGGTATACAGAGGATTAACAAAAGACAGATGTTCAACAGAGCGGGCTGTATATAAAAGTGAAATTAGTCTTCCTCCTCCTCCTCTCTATAGGCTAAAGTGCATAAATGTGTTTTAAAAGCTTTTTAAAGTAGAGGAGAGAGAGGGCCTTTTTTAATTCTTCAGGAAGGGAGTTCCAGAGTGGGGGTGAGGGGTGATCACGGAGAAGGCCCTCTCTCTCATTCCCACCAGCCACACTTGAGACAGGGGCGGGAATGAGAGGAGGACCACCTCTGTCGACCGCAGCAGTTTTTCATAGTTTGAGCCTGAACTGTTTTGGGTTTTATAGGTAATAACCAGCACTTTGTATTTAGCCCAGAAGCAGACTGGCTGTCAGTACAGCTGCCATAACATAGGAGTTGTCTGCTCCCTGTACGGCACTCCAGTTAGTAATCTGGCTGCCGATCTCTGCACCAGTTATAGCTTTTGAACTATCTTCAGAGGTAGCCCCACGTAGAGAGCGCTGCAGTAGTCCAGACGGGATGTAACTAAGGCATGGGCTACCATGGTCAGATCTGGCATCTCAAGGTATGGGTGCAGCTGGTGGACAAATTTTAACTGTGCAAAGGCACTCCTGGCCACTGCTAATACCTGGGGTTCCAGGGTCAGCAAGAGTCCAGGATAATCCCTAGACTGCAGACCTGGGTCTTCAGGGGGAGTGCAATCCATACAACACAGGCTGTAATCCCACACCCCGATCTGTCTTCCAACTAACCAGGAGTACCTCTGCCTAGTCTGGATTTAATTTCAATGAAGAAAATGGAAGAACAATTTTAACCAACATAAACTTACCAGTATTTCAGTGGGAAGTGTGTGTCTGCTTTTGGCTGATGAGATAGCCAAGTTAATTAGGATTGTTGTTATATGACATGTCTTTAAGTCATTTCAGACTTAGAGCAAGCCTAAGTCTAAAGTTTAGGGTGGGGGAACAGAGGATGATGGCAACAGGTCAATGACCTTGGAGGGCCGCATCTGGCCCATGGGCATTAGGTTGGGAGTCCCTGGTTTAGAATGTGTTGCTGTGTGTTGGGCTATAAAAATCCACATACTTCACCACCGAGTAATCAAAGTGTGCTACTAAATGGGACCAAAACAAAGACTATAATAAAGTAACATCAATTACTTCAGGTACCTCTCACTGAAAAGAATTCAGATTTATGTATTTTTAATGTGCTCTAAAATGCAAAGTTTTGACCAAACTTGGTATTTACACCTTGGTGGATATCCCAAATATTTGAGCCCATTACTAAACTTGGGCCATTCCCCTCAGAAAATTGCTATTTCTGGTCCATTCTGTACAAAATCTAGTGAGAAACAAATTTTAAGAAATGCATATATTACCAGACAAGCGTATGTTTCACCCAATTAATAGAACTACAAGCACAACAGGCAATTGTGTGTACCTTTCCTGGTCTAATATGTTTTTGATGAAAGATGGGGGAGATTGTGACTCTGCCCACCAGGAAGGTATGATGCATTTAGTCACCAGTGACACCCTCTGTCCAAGAAAAATGGCCACGTCTCCCCTTCAGGGATTCATAGAATATCAAATTAACAGAAAAAGGGGGACTAGATTCTTATAGCGGTGCAGCTCAATTTACCTAAAATATGTGGCAGCTCTTGCACAATGTGACAGATGAGAAGGCCCAGACATTTTGACAGGTATTCATTGCTGCTTTGCTGTTCTTTTCCTGGCATGGTCTTTCTGCTGTCTCTTTCAATATACATCACCAACCTACACACAAAGAAGTGTAAAAGATTACGCTATATGATAAAAAATGGCATGGCTGTCAAAGGACAGGTGGGCGTATTCAGACTTACCCAGATAATCATACTAAGGCTAAGTCAAAAAAAGTTACATCAAAATGTATGCTGAATTTAAAATGTCACAACTGTGGAAACCTCATGGATGTGAGTTATTTCAAGAACAGGCTAACTCTGCAACTTTAAGAACCAAAATCCTCTGAGATTAGTTCCTGATGATCTATACTAAAACGCAGCTCTCCCTAATTCAGTGAATTTTGCAGGTGCCTCAGCCAATGTTGCATTCTATTCATACCTCTTCCTTCTTTCATCTTTTTCTTACAGTGGAAAATCCATTGAGGGGGAAAAAGATGGAATAGCTCCACAGTGCCTTCTAAGTGCTAAAATAAAGAATTTTCCGTTTGAAAACATCTATAAGGGCTCAGGGCTATGACTTCCTTCATTAAATAACCCTTCGATAATGTGGTTGTTGAAAATGACAACTTTCTTCAAGCTTTCTCTAGTAATATGTTTATCTATGATCCTGTTGCTTACTGTTTCCTGTATGTATGTTCTGTCATGTCCCCACATGAGAAGCTGGGGCTCACAGAAAGGAGCTCACACTGTCTTGCGGATTTGAATTGGCAATCTTCAGGTCAGCAGTTCAGTCGGCACAAGGGTTTAACCCATAGCACCACCACCGCTCCATGTCAAGCCGAATGAGAAGCAGCTTAGGGAACTTGGTTTGTTTAGCTTGAAAGTTAAGATGACATGATAGCCATGTTTAAAAATTTTTAAAGACTTTATATTGAGGAGCAAGCTTAGAGAAATGAATTCTAACTACAAGAAAAGAGCTTCCATCTAAATGTTAGGAAGAACTTCCTGACAGTAGGAGCTGTTCAATAGTGAAATACATACTCTCAGAGTGCAGGTAAGTCTCCTTCTTTGGAAGTTTTCAAAACAGAGGTTGGATGGCCATCTTTCAGGAGGTGGTTGGGGACTGGTCTCTTCCAATTCTAGTATTTCTATTACCTATCTCATTGTCTATCTGTTCAGACAGAAGAGCCTGAAAAAATTATCTAATTTTTTGACAAGCAACTGCTACTGTTGCTGATTGATTTCCAAGAGACTGCCCATGAGATCATATACATTTTTGGATTTTCCAAATTGAGATTCTGATATTACACAAGAGAATCAGATAGTATTGGAAGAAGTCTGTCTGGGAAAAATCAGGCTGGTTTTTGAATGGAATCTGAAATTAATATTGTTGCCAGTATGCATCCATTACAAAGCCTCTTCTATTATTTTGCCTCTTAATATCTTGTCTTTATAGCTAAACATCTTGTAGAATGCCTGCTTCATTGGTGGAGATTTTGTTAATTCCAGTCACAATTTTGTGTAAATCTATCTCCTGGGAGAAGTACAAAAAAGGGGGAAATACTTTTCATCCTCTTAGATTTATGGAGAGCACATGGTGCCTACAGAGTGTTACTTCTACTCATCTTGACTACACTTGCTTGTTATTGTGAGAATCGTCTAATACAGAACAAAATAAACTGCTCTATATTGACTTAAAAGAAGAAATCAAAACATCTTATTGAGAATCAAGGAAACAAGCCTTCAAGTGGCTGGCAGCATTTTCTAAGAATCAAGACATTTATTTCTCTTCATACTATCTGCTGTTGGGCGAATATTTCAATACCTTTTGTGTATCCTTACCACTCTCTTTTCTAAAACCTTTGAGATTTTTTTACTTCTTGTTCCCCAGCTTCACTCAAAAAGATAAGCCAAGTTTCTATTTGTTTGAAAAACATATGGGGGAAATGTCGTGCATTCAGAAATGGTAAGAAACAAAAATAGACAATAATAGGGGAAGCTGATGCTGAAAAGAAAAGTGGGAGCAGAAAAACCATGTTTTGTTTAAAAACGTAGTAATTCACCAGGAAGATAAACAAAGGAAAAACAGATGTCTAACAAAGAGGACAGAAGTAAAAATAGTAACAAGCTGGTGCAGGATAAATATGCTTCAGGAAAAAGAGAATTAAAGAGCATTCAAGAACCCAGATCAATAAGTTGCTTAAGAGAAATTTCAATTTATCCATCATCATACAGTAAGATGATCAATGCAACCTGGATTAGCATTTCAGAACATATTGGAAAAGCTAGTTCTGTAACTTATCAATAAATCATATCACAACTTTGTAACTAAATTATGGAGAGGCCAGATGTATTCTATCTGCCTACAAAAGTTTCTTGAGTAGTACAGAATCTTTGTCTTAGATATTAGATAAAGTCCACTTTGCATTTTTCATTCCTGTTTTAAAACCTCCTAGTTAATAATCTACAGCCTCAGTATTGTAAGCTAGCAGGATATAAACATGATAGAAATGACAGAGAAAATCTGAAATATATACACTCTTGGGTTCAATTATAGTTTTAACACCACCTTACCTTGCTTGACAGCTCAGAAGTAGCATGTCTTTGTTATTAATTAAAACTTGTAACAGGACCAAAAAAGCCTTTGCTCGTATAAGAGAGGAAGGGCTTTCAAAGAGTGTAATAACTGTAGTCACAAAGTCCTGGAGGGAAGGAAGAATGCAAACATTATTTCAGTAAGGGGAACATTAGAATCCAACTTATTCTAATTATTTTGAATTGGAAGACTGAATTTCTAATAATTTGATGAAAGGAAAATCTATAAATATATAAATTTATGTCACAAGTCAACTGATTATACCAATACTCAAATCCATCCCCTACTAACTGTAATATTGTGTGTTCACAGCTTTTTTGTCTGATGGCTTAGCTTCTGCTTTGAGATCTCTTACTTATGGTATTGCTAATGATTTAATTTTTTATTTTAATTGTTATATTATTGTTTTATCCCATTCCCACCCTCGCTTCCTTGTTCATGCAATATATATAGCAAACTACAGAAGTTCCATTTCAAATATCAGTCTCAGTCTTAATTTTTTTACTCCACATCTCTCTAAATAATTCCCAACTTGCTAATGATTTAATAACGCAAAACAGCGGCTCTCAAAATGTGCTCCGCAGAGCCCTTGGGACTCTATGAAGCATACGGAGAGGCTCCATCATTTCATGTTCCTCCTCCCCTCCTCCCTGCCAGAATCATTTTTCCGTCACCTTCATCACTGCCCATATTCTTTCCCTCTTGCCTTCCTTGCTTCGAAAACCCTATTTTCCACCCACCACTCAGGGGGTCCTTTGATTGTGCTTTTAGAAGGGAGTTGAATTGGATGGCCCCTGGGGTTTCTATTACTACTATTACGATTACTAGTACTACTACTACCTCAAAGACTGGGTGGCCATCTATTGGAGGTGCTTTAATTGTGCTTTTCCTGCATGGCAGATTAGACTGGATTCCCCCTGGGGCTTTCTGCTGAAATACTGTTAAGTTTATGTTGGTGATAGCCAGAATCTGGAAATCCAAGGAAACCCCCACAGTGGAGCAATGGTTGCTAAAAGTATGGGACATTATGAACATGGACATCTTAACCCAAAAAATATCACAGAGCATAACAAAACCACCCAAGACTAATTGGGGAAATTTTTTGGAATACATTAAAGGGTTAAATAACGAAATTTATATCAGTATTGCACAGTGAAGAAACTCAAAGGACTATCAGTAAGAAACCGGCGAATAAACCATAACTGGATTAGACAACAAAGGGACTAAAGTACTGTTTACTTCCCAGTCATCTGCCCAGAAACTCCTGGAAGTATTTTAAGGGCACTCTGGGGTATGTTTACTGTTGTTCGCATGGTTGTCGTTGTAGTGTCACTGACATCTTGGTGTTGTTTGTTTTGTTTTGTTTTTTTGTTTTTTTTCTCTTTCTTTCCTTTCTCTTCTCACCGCCAACTCCCAATTCCCAATTATAGCATTTCCAACTTTACTGAAAACATTGTTCTCACTCTTTCCATGTATACACCATATTTTATATTTTATCTACTATTATTTTCTTTCTTTCTATCAGCTCCTCTTAAGAGCAACATATATAAATATTTATTGGGGCTCCACGAGAACTTTTTGCTTCAAAAAGGACTCCAAGTCTGAAAAAGTTTGAGAACCCCTGACCTAGAACAATAAAAGCAGTATGAGAATAAAATCTAGTGACTTGGTAAATGAACAAAAATGCAGCAGCATATGGAACCACCACCCTGACCTCTTGCTTTACTTTTTTAAAAGAAATGGTTTATTGTTTATATCAGAAGTTTAGTAGTCTCTGTTTTTTTTTGTAAGTTTAAAATTTTGTGACAGTTTTGGATGGTAAGGCAAGATATATATGTTTCAGCCAAACAACAAACTTTATGACCATGTATTTCACATGACCTTGGGGCAGGATTCAGGTTTTCAGATGTAGGGTGGCAAGTCCCAGCAGCCTAATCAATAGCAAGACATGCTGGGAGCTACTATGAGGTTTCCATCCCTTCTTTACATATTACTGCTTCTAATCATTATTCCAATTGCAGCAAGACACATAAACATGCCACTGAACCTTAGTGTGATATTTTAATGTCTACAGCAGGAAATTTATGAATATATAATTGTAAGAAACAGCCATTCAAATCAAACCTTTTCTTGAATTAGCCTTTGCAAATGGATACCACATGACAACATAGCAGAGAACATAGTCATCATGTACTGCTGAACTTTGCATATTCCAGTTGCCAAGGAGTGTATCACAGCTGGCAGTCCCACTTTTTCAATCACACTCTGGAAGGCACTTGGTGAGTGATGAGTAATTTTGCATAATGCCTTTATAAGAAAAAAACAAACAAAAACAGAGTAATCCGGGAACTGCTGGCCATTATTAAGTAGGTGTCACCTGAAAACTAAAGTCCTTCAAGTTCTCATACATCAAGCATAGCAGTCACCTTGTCTCCTGAATCCATTTTCTCTCATTCCACAGTATCTAATGATGATGAAAGCTAATAACCAGAGAAAGAGGTAAGCAGTATTTGGAGGCAGGTTGCATAAATTCTCTCTCTCATAGTCCTTTCAACAAAACAACAGGATAAAAAGCCAGTGCAAAGGTGATAAGCAGACAAAATTATACAACATTGTGCTGTGTAGTCAACATGCAAGTGGTACTATCTGATGGGAACAGCTCCTGTTAAGCAAGTGATAATGACAAATGCCTAGAGATATTAAAGACCTTTTACTGGGCAGAACTATTTTGGAGTAAACATTTTAAATGCTGCTTTTATTTATTTGATGCTTTAATTATTTATGGGCCATCTGTCAGGGGTGCTTTTCCTGTATGGCAGGGGGGGGGGACTAGATGGCCCATGTGGTCTCTCCCAACTCTATGATTCTATGATTCTATAATCTCCACAGTTGTCTACAGAAAGACATGTGAAGACATTCGGAGTTATTTCAAAGTCAAACAACTTTGCACTAGTATATAGTATTATAAAAAAACACACGGACGATACTGTAACATGTGGTTGATAGTTCATACCTCAAGAGAAAAATATTTTTGGGAGAAGGAGAAACAACGAGAACTTCAAGTTCTGGGGAGAAAGGTTTAGCACACTTTCTATTGTCTTTGTATTATAATTAAATTTGCATCCATTTATATTTTCTCTGGGAATGCCACTAAAACTAGTATATGCAGGTGACTACCCACTTAGGCAGCCAATCTTCTATTACACGTTGGTGCATGTGAAAGAACAAGTTGCTTACCAGTAACTGTGGTTTCTTTGAGAGATTGTCTGTGAATTCCCACATATATGTTATATGTGCCTTGCACTGCATCATCCATGGAACTTATATAATTAATCTAGAGAAGGTTCTAGAGCAGTGGTTCTCAACCTGTGGGTCCCCAGGTGTTTCGGCCTACAATTCCCAGAAATCCCAGCCAGCTTACCACCTGTTAGGATTTCTGGGAGTTGAAGGTCAAAATATTTGGGGACCCACAGGTTGAGAACCACTGTTCTAGAGTAATTATATAAGTTCCATGGATGCTGACACAATAGCCCAAAGAACTAAGGGCAGGCAGGATGTGAATGAGGGGAAAACTGGCAGGGATGTGTGTATTCATGGATAAGCACTCAATGAACAACAGTTACTGGTAAGCAATCTGGTTGTTTTTTTTCATATTCTCTGTGGTTCATTCAAATGGGAACTAAGCAAGAAGGACAGAGTGTTGTGCTTTCAGATAAGATAGGAATACAATCCCAAAAGGAGCATCAACCTGGGAACTTCCATTTATCAGGTGGTAAGAAAAGCTGGAACCAGATAGTCAACTCTGCAGACTTCCCCTAGAGACCCTCTACCCAAAAAGGCAAAAGGAACGAGAACAACATGCTTCTGCTGAAGTCAAGCAACTGCGACTGCCATTTGGCAAAAATCTGAGGGGTTGTTCAAAGGGCAAAAGGAAGGATTCAAACCTAGTGTGCACACCTTCCCACTGTGAAACAAAATTAGCATCTATGAAACAGATAAATCAAGGATACAGTCTGGAGAGTTTATATTTCTCCTTGGTTATTTCTTCTTTTTTATGCTTATGCTGTTCATCTCACATGAAGGTTCCAAGATAATCCATTTGTATGAGTCACAAAGACCACAAAAGTGAAGCCCATTCTCTCTATTTGCTAGTAAATATGCAGGGCTATGGCTTCAAAGACATTGTGGTGAAGACGGACACAGCTGTGTTACGTATCTTCAGGAAATAAGTAACCATCAAACTTGGAAGGATAAACCATGTTTGACTTGTGAAATTTCATGGAATTATTTCTCATTTCTGCCACCAACAACATGGTAAAAAAATCAATCCCTTTAGAATGCACACCTGTGACACATACCTGAGGCAGGTTATGCTTCAAGGCAAAAAGAAGGAGTTGTAAGACATTTTGGCTTATCACCCACGACAGATAAGATTGTAGAGGGCAGTGATGTTTGCTAGATGACCCGCAGGCAGCATAGCTCATAATTCTGATATAAAGAAAGTCCTTAATATTTGTACTAGATTTGGTGTTACTATTGAAAAGAAATTAGCATGGATTTTTTCAGACAATATATAAGCTATTTTACATGCTTTCCCAATAAAAAACAATAAAAATGAACAGAAATTATGTTAATGAAATAGTGTAAACGCTGTCCATCATGGAACTAACTTCTCAAAGTAGTGGGTGTTGGTACTCCTGGGAGGCAAGGGGCCACGCTAAATGTGCCAAGCACTTTAAAGTGATGAGGGGAGGCTACTGGGAAGCAGTAGTAGTGGCAAATGACAATGACAGTTTCCTTAGCTCTGGTTATTGCTATACAATGGTAAACAACTTTTAAATATCTTTTACCTTGAATACCCTATGATGACACAATCCAAAAGAAAAAAAGTTAAACAAGACTCAGAAGACCAGAACAAAGGACAAGCATGAATAGCTCTGTGGACTTTTCAAAAGAACAGGGGGAAAACTGGGGAAACTGAATGGAATTGTCTTAACCCATTTCCTCTTGTTTTTTCCCATCTTCTGGAATGGCCAGCCATTCCATGTTCTTGCCGCGTCAATGTCTGTTTCCCTCCCACTTTCTCCTACTTTTCTCTATCTGGAATCGAGTAACACCTGACTCCCGAAGATGGGTTTAGGACTCAGTTTCCAAGTGTTATGGAAACTGAGCCTAACGGAGTTCCACCAGAAGTGCCCTTACGTCATGTCATGGCTTCCGTGGGACCCCCATGGGGCTCCATTTTTGAAGCACATGGAAACAGAGCTCTAACCCCATGGGATGAAGTCCTTAGTCTAATGACACAATTGGAGTCAAGTTGTTGGCATGCTCAGATGTTAAAGAAAAATCCAAAGCTATATAACTCACAAAAGGGAAACATGGGATGTGAGAAGAATGAATCGAGGAAGCTAAACATTGTAAAAAATGTGAAAAGAAATATATAAATATTGCAATATTTGAGATGAACGAGTGAAACCAAAACATGACATACTAGTAATAAAAAATGACTGGAGTGCTAAAGAAGAAACAGACAACCTTGAACACATAATCATACGGATGATGAAAACAACAAACAGGACTCAGTTTCTGCCCCAAATCACTATAAACCTATTTTCATCCCCACTAAAATAACACTGGCAAACTTGTAAAGCATTAAAAGCTTCTGTGTACATGCCAGTTTCATCAATAAGAGTGGATTGCATAATCAAGCATATAGCAAGAACGAAGGAATTAGTAAAACCTGCTCATTCAAACCTGTGATTATAAATGAAAATTTCAGAACAGGCAGTCCTGTTCTGACAGTTTATATTGGTAAATATATTTATAGCCATTACCCCCCAATGGTGTTATCAACCATTGTTTAGGTTCCTCCTAATATAATCTTTTCTATCTTGCTAGCAGTCTACTTTTTAATTATCATTCAGACCTATCATTCAGTGTTGTAGACTTGTTCATAAAGTTGACTTTTTCATCCCTTTACCATTTGCTGTCTATTAATATACTCTTCACACTGCTTCTATGGGAAGATCAAAAGACCTTAAATCACCAGTAAATTAAGACTAATGCTGTATCATCCCAGTAATGATAGTAACATCTCATCCAAATGAAAAAAATAAATAAAAACCTAATATGATTTTGAGCGCAGACTGAAATGAGGTGTACATCAAACTGTCCAGAATGCAGTAAATTCTACAAAGGGGGAAAAGAAGATCATTGCTCAATGTTATAAGTAACATTAAGTAAACAAACATTTAGTATAATAAAATACAGGGGAAACTGTAGTTCATACACATGTGAGAGAAAGGTAAACATATGGCAGAGAAGTCTCACTTAAGAGCTTTTGTTTCAGCAATTCAATCAAGCCTTCAAAGAAAAAGATAAAGGAGGCAGTGTGGATCAAGAAATTGAAACCAGATATCAATATTATGAAGGCATTATAACAAATAATGTTTATCCATACTGGATGTTAAGGACAGGTGCTGTAAATAAAATGTTTTCCCTTCTTTAAGTCTGATTATTGATATCACCCTTGTTGCTGAAGTTAGACTATGTGTCAAAACATGTTCGGGTTTATCTTACCTAATAAAAATCCTTTGACATGACTTTACTGGGTAATTTTTGTTTGTTTATTTTTATTGGAAAACTGGAAATAGTCAGTTATCTACTTCCAATTTTGTAAGATGCATTTGAGGGTTTTTGATGGGCATGGAGGAAAAAGGTGTTGGGGGGGGGGGCGGGGAGGCTGTGCATTGCATTGAAAAAGAAATGCCCTTCCCAGTGACTTCCAGGAACAGTAGTATTCATCTTTGTAAAAAAAAAAAAAATTGAAGGGACAGGAGGGGCATGGAGGCACAGAAATGGTTTGAGGGCACACTGACCCATAAGATTTATGATTCCAACTCCCATTTTATCCTGTTATTATCCTAAAAATATTTTCCGAATGGAAATTAATATTTTAATCAGGAATCACAGTTTTTTGGTTAATATTAGCTATATTAATTTATTAGACAGCCTTTCCTTAAAAGGTTTAAATCCTGAAATATTTGCCAAAACATCATCTAAAGGTAGCTTTCAGGTAGCTTTCAGCATGGTCCTGTGAGCCCCCAAATAAATAAAATTCTTCCTTCCCTTTTTTTCTTTCCAATCTGTTGTTCTCTGTTATTCACATTTAATACCACAAGCTCCTTGGAGCAAGCATTTTGTAAACTGCCATGCACCTTGATAGCACTCAATGATGAATAAAACTTCTTGAGATTTGTGAACTTTGATTATAGTATAGCATTTTAAAAGACACTGAAATATGAAAATTAGAAACTAGACATGAACAACCAAATCTTACCGAAATAGCAGTTATTCTCAAAGAATCTATGGTTGAATGCGTAAAGAGAAACCACAATACAGGTCCAATTTCTCCAGTAATAAATCCTTGAGCATGAGAAGAGACAGTGGAGCACACATTTTCAACAATCTTTGCCGCTATGTGGTTTACAATGCGTTCTTCCTGGAAAGAAAAAAATGATTTTTTAGTCAACTGTCACTGGTAAAAGCTATAAAGAAACTAAACACAAAAATGTAACCGTTGTTAATTGATTAAGTTGTTAATAGATTTTCCATAACTATGATTATTTATTAAAATTATTGTTTATTTATTTTTTATCACAAATAAATTACAGTGCTTCCTGCAGTGACATCTATATTCTTAAACAGCACCTGTTTGGCAGTAGCAAGGAAAGAAGTTCATTACCGTATATATTTACTTAGGCGATCCCTCGTAATCCGAGGATGATGGTCCTCCAAGTGTAGTATCCTGGCGGTGGGTCCGTAGGTGACTGTGGAGCCCTAATCTTGATCTGTATCTTCTCCCACAGTGAGGGCATTGGTTTCCAGGTGGAAGGCAGTCCAGGTCGGGGTTGGCTTGATGCGCCTTCCTCTTTGCACGGTTCTCTTTTTTGCTCTCTACTCGTGCCTCTTCAAATTCTGCAGCACTGCTAGTCACAGCTGACCTCCAACTGGAGCGCTCAAGGGCCAGCCAGGGCTTCCCAGTTCTCAGTGTCTATGCCAGAGTTTTTAAGGTTGGCTTTGAGCCCGTCTTTAAATCTCTTTTCCTGTCCTCCAACATTCCGTTTTCCATTCTTGAGTTCAGAATAGAACAACTGCTTTGGGAGATGGTGGTGGGGCATCCGGACAACATGGCCGGTCCAGCTGAGTTGATGGCGGAGGACCACTGCTTCAATGCTGGTGGTCTTTGCTTCTTCCAGCACGCTGACTTTTGTCCACTTGTCTTCCCAAGAGATTTGCAGGATTTTTCGGAGGGAGCGCTGATGGAACCGTTCCAGGAGTGTGACGTGTGTAGACTGTCCACATCTCGCAAGCGTATAGCAGGGTTGGGAGGACAATAGGTTTACAGTATATGATCACAGGACCACTAACCCAGTAACCTGATATCAAATTGTTTTTTTACTCCTCATTTTCTGTAAATGACATTGTATTTTTAAAAAAAAATAATCAGGAAAAGCCTGAATCCAAGTGCCAACTGCTCCGTCTCAGCACCCACCAAGGGCCAAATAGTGCAAATAACAGGAACAAGACTTTTATTTTAGTTTAGCTTGTGCACTGATTTGTTTTGGCCATTTCCCTTTGGATAATCTGGCTGGTCCGGCTTGCTCAGGTGGCCATTAACAGCAAGGGCTCAGTCTCCACGTTTTTCAGCCCCAACAAAACAGTAGCTGTTGAATCTGGCTGTTTTCAGTTGCAAGTGGAGTGTGGGAGATAGCCGCTAGAAGTGGGAAGCCTCCTTAAAATGACTTGGAAAGAGTGTATGGTGTGGTTCAGGCCCGGGAGAGAAAGTGTGTTCAGGCCTGCTTGCAGCGCCTCTCCTCTAGAGAAGAAACAGTGCAGGCTTGGGAAAAAAAGCTTGGCTGACTGCCTGCCTGTACCACCTCTCCTCTAGAGTAGAAACAGCTTTAAGAACCCTCTTTAAAATGCCTTGGAAAGAAATGTTTTTAATCCAGGACTAGGAGAGAAATGCTTTTAATCCAGATCTTAATGAAGGATATAAAAACAGATAATGCCTAAAATGATGGGAATGGGAGACTGGGAAGTCATCCCCCATAATGAGCCGGATAGAAAACAAATCTTTCGGCTTCCCAGAACAAAAACAGATTTCTGTCCTCCTAATTTGGGGGGCTCCCGAAAAACAGATCCCCCCCCCAAAAAAATCCAGGACACCAAAACAGATTGCAGTTTGCCTAGATTGCACAAGCCTAGTAAGAACCTTTTTTGGAGGTGTATCAAGGGGGCTGGCAGCACCTCTTTGAACCTTGAAGTGGCAATCTCTTTGTGAAAAATATGGTGGTTTTCAAGAGAGACTGGGCCGACAAAAATGAGTAAGGACATCCAAATATTCCCAATGGACAACCCACCTCTGATATCTCTAAGAATGGGATGTGCCATTATTTTTGTTTCACAAACATGCTGGACTTTTTCCTTTGACTACACTTTTGATAGGATAATGTTTCCAACAGAACTTGCCTACTCAGCCACTTGCTGGGAAACGGTGGAAAATATCCTTATAAAGCAGTGGTTCTCAACCTGTGGGTCCCCAGATGTTTTGGCCTTCAACTCCCAGAAATCCTAACAGCTACTAAACTGGCTGGGATTTCTGGAAGTTGTAGGCCGAAACACCTGGGGATCCACAGGTTGAGAACCACTGTTATAATGGCTAAAAGGCAGTATTTAAAGAAATGTGTTCATTTCTTTCTCTGCAAAAATATCTCTATAATTATAGTGATCAAGAGCTTCTGAAGGGTAACATCCATTTCTTCCTTTCCACTGAATGATTTGTGACCAGTATAGTAATAAAATTGTTCCAGGGCAGGAATCAGAATTTCATGGCAAGTCACACTTTCTCAGTCTTAGACGAAGGCAAAGAACCCTTTGAATAAATATTGCCAAGAAAACCCTCTGATAGGTACACCTTAGGATTGCTACACATTGGAAACAACTTCTGTGTACAGCAACAATAGTTTATTCATGGATTTGAGAATAACCAATTCTATCTGATATGATAGTCTTGCAGCCTTTCCTGTCTTGGGAGGGGATATCACCAGAGAGGTTAATGTAGAAGATAAATATCAACAATATTACTGTTCTCATCACACAATTATATTGTAGAATATAATCCTATTCCAAGATAATATACCAAGATAATCAATTCAAAGTAGAAATCCAGTGTAGATTTCCTTTTCACACATTCATTGCAAAAAAACTGTTTGCAATATAAATGTAGACTGAACAATGTTCTATATAGAGATACATTTTATACACCAATGTTTTATATACTAATACTTTTATTTTCTAACTCGGTGTTTAGAATTGTTTTATTACCACATATTATATATTTTATATTTATTAACTTTTGGTGGGATCGGAAGAATGCCACTCTAGCCCCAGTTTCATATTTCCATTTTTCTGAATACTTTGAGCTCTAGGGCTTGTGCTCCCTCTATTTTATCAGTTTTATACTTATTTATGCAATCCTTTTGACACAAAAAAAATTCTTTGTTTTTCAGTAATTAGGATTGGGCAAGTAGAGATCAGAGACCTATTCTGATATATTTTTCTTATTTTTTTTTCTGTTCTTCTTTCTATTCCGTAATCTTATGCTTGCATGTTACTTTAACTGTAAATTTGACTGTGTCAAATAATAGTAGTAACAAAAGAAGAAGAACAACAACAACATAAATTCAACAAACATCCATGATTATGAATGGCAAAAAAATCTCTACCAATGTAGAACCATGATTTTGGTTACACACATTCAAATGTGTCCCTTGAGGTTTTCCTTAGTTTTGCGTATGGGAGCCAGTAATGACATGAAGCGTGCCCAGGGCTGGATAACCACAGCATCTTGTCTGGGAAAGGGTCATGGATTGTCACTATGTTCTATCAACTCAATGAGGCTGTCAAACTAATTCAATTTGCTGCCACCTGAGCTAGGCTCACTTAAGCCCCTCTGGGACCTATTATCAAAGAGTGCAGAGGCAGGAAGATTATGCCATTTTCTGCTTAATTACCTCCCTGGAATGGAAGTCTCAAGTAAACTAATATTTAGTCTTCTGTACTTTATCATTTCACAAACACATGAGCTATAGTGAATCTAGAAGTAATGGTACAAGCTTCCTTAAACCTGTCCTGTACAAACTCAAACTATTCTTAGAGTTTGGTTTAAAAACTTACCAGAATTTTTCCAAAGTCCAACTACTTTGTACGAAGATAATAAAATATGGAAAATACTAAACTAGTAAGTTATGACAACATAAAAAAGAGGCATGCAAATCAGTATAATTGTGTATATTTTGCTTTTTGTTTATAGAGCTTTGAGATCAGCTGGCTGCTTTTCTCCTTAGTAAAAATTAAAAATAGAATTATTTAGTACTAGTAATATTTCTAAGCAACCTTCTACATCAGGGATGTCGAACTCATTTTCACAGAGGGCCATATCAACTTTATAGTTGCCTTCAAAAGGCCATTTGTAATTGTAGTCTCTGTTTAAGACATAATAATAATAATAATAATAATAATAATAATAATAATAATAATAATAATAATGAAGACTTTGGCACAAGCCAGTCAAGAAGGTCCCAGTGGTGATCAGCACACTGGATGCAGTGCCTAAAGGCCTTGGCCCGCACTTAAACACAATCGGCACTGACAAAATTACCATCTGTCAGCTGCAAAAGGCCACCCTACTGGTATCTGCACGCATTATTCGCCGATACATCACATAGTCCTAGACACTTGGGAAGTGTCCGGCGTGTGATCCAATACAACAACCAGCAAAGTGATCTTATTTGCTGTATACTGATCTTGTTGTGTTTCAGATAATAATACATTTTAAATTAATGGTGTATCCTAATAAGGAAGTGACTTCATGGTTCCCTTTCTTTTGAGATGGCAGAACCAGCTACATATTTCAAATGCAATCACACTACATACATGCAACACTCAATTCCCTCTTTGTGCTCATGAAGGACCTCAGAAGAAAGATAAATTGAAAATTCTCTGATCTGCTGCTGAAATTTAGTGGCTAGCTGCCAAGTGCACTAACACAATGCAGTTGACTAACTCGTTCAACTACCTTGTTAATTGCCAGTCTAAATGGAGACCACACAGTCCAACTGACTACTCCATTCCAGGAAACTGGGGAGACAATCTGAAGTGCTTCCAAAATGAAGTCAACTGGAACAAAGAACTGGCTACTTCTCCTGCCACCACTACTGCCTGTGCTACTTTGTCATTTCAGTTAGGGTTCATGTGTTCCTTAGCTATTTTTTAAAAAATAAAGCAAATCCAGTATACATTGACTTTATTATATAGTGGATTAATTTTCATCCTAACCAATTACAATTGGAATGGATTAAAATTAATCACTTTTTTTTAAAAAAAATCATTCTTAGTGGATTTAGGGGTACTTCATTTCTTAATAAAAACTAAAAGAAATGGCAGATGGTGGCTTCCATGTCCACTCTACTTTTTAGGTTGCATTTCTAAAAAAGTTACCCAAGGTGCTAAACCCTAAATAGGCTAAGATTCCTCTGGATTTACATGGTTTTTCACAATGAGGTCCTAATATTTCCAGATGGAAGGTGGTAATGGCAAGGGTGTGCTTTCCTTTTGGCACAGTTCTACCTTTCACCCTGTATTTGTGCCTCCTCAAAATTCATAGTATTGTTCACAACAGATTGTTTCCAGTTAGAACACTCAAGTGCCAGGGCTTCCCGGATTTAGGTGTTTATTCCAAACTTTATTAGGTCAGCTTTAAGCCCATTTTTACATTTCTTGTTTTCCACTGGCATTCAATTTTCCGTTGAATTGTGAATAAAGTAACTGCTTTGGGAGATGGTGATTGGGCATTCCGACAATGTGGCCAGTCCAGCAAAGTTTATGTTGAAGGATCATCCCTTCAATGCAGGTGTCTTTGCTTCTTCCAGAACTCTAACATTTGTCCACCTGTCTTCCCAAGATATTTGCAGGATTTTTCAAAGGCAACACTGATGGAAGAATTCCAGAAGTTGAGAGTGACGTTTGTAGGTGGTCCATGTTTTGCAGGCGTACAACAGAGCTGGAACCACAACAGCTTTATAAGCATGCATCTTGGCATTCTCATGAATGTTCCAATCCTCACACACTCTATACTTCATTAGAAAAAAATACTGCACTTGCAGAGCTCAGACGGTGTTGTATTTCAGCGTCAATGTCAACTTTTGTGGCATGGTGGTTGCCTAGGTAGTGGAAATGGTCAACATTACCTAGAATTACACCATAAAGCTGTACTGTTGACATTGCAGACAGATTGGTTGGTGCACTTTGGTTTTATCAACATTAGATGAGAGGCCAAGCTTTCCCCCTTGCCAGATCATCACCTATCTAGAGAAGATTCAGCACTTCACTGACATGGGACCTAGCAGCCACTACTGCTCCAATGTCACTCAAATTTGAGGAGATGAGAGGCTAGTATTTATCATGAATGGATGGCTGGAGGAGTGATCCACGTGCATACATGGGTTTGGTTCAGTTGCAAACATTTACTCAATTCTCATACAAGATTTTGTTTTATATCTACATCTATCTATCTATCTATCTATCTATCTATCTATCTACAAAGAGCTGAATAGTTTTAATCAAAATTAAAATACAGAAAAAAGGAATTTTTTTAAATGCTCAGTCCCAACCCGAAATGGGTGCAGATTGTTCTTCCAGTTATCCAACAATGACCATTCACAGTGAGTACCAACATCTCAATACTTTCGATTCCTTTCTCAATAATATGTGTGTCTGGATTCTTCCTCCAGACATCTAGAGAACATAATTGCAACTTGGGCTTTTATCTTTCAGCAGCCACTCTTACATTTAGCATATGGAAGCACAGCCAGCCCTCCATATCCACAGATGCTTCATCCACAAATTCAAATGGTGTCAAAGCACACCATTTAACCATGGCATTGTACATAAGGGAACTTGAACATCCCCAGATTTTGGTGACCAAGGCTAGTCCTAGAACTAGTAATTAAATACGACTGGTTACAGAGATCAATAATCAATATTTTAAAACTGCAACTAATATTTTATTCAACAATAGATTTAATTGGACAACTCTAGTTGGTATTGTCGAAGGCTTTCATGGCTGAAATCACTGGGTTGTTGTAGGTTTTTCCAGGCAATATGGCATGTTCTAGAGGCATTTTCTCCTGACGTTTCATCTGCATCTATGGCAAGCATTCTCAGTACCTCACTATCTCATTTTGACCTCACTACCTCTGAGGATGCTTGCCATAGATGCAGGCGAAATGTCAGGAGAAAATGCCTCTAGAACATGGCCATATAGCTCGGAAAAACCTACAACAACCCAACTCTAGTTGGAACTAAAACATGGATTTATACATATATACCAAGATAAATATCAACCCCTTTCATTTTTCTTTCTGATACATAATCTTTCATTCTATTTCGTTGTTTATTTTAGACACAAATCCAATAATAACAACTGCCCTATTATTCCAGAAGAAATCTGTCTTTTTGTCTCCTGCTGTTATCTTAAAATTATATTTCAAAGGATATAAATCTAAAGCTGAAAGTGTTTGCTTGATACATTCTCTACTTTGGGATGAGGCAATGGCAACTGACTTTTCGTATATAGTAAATGCATTGTTTTATCTGGTGATAATCCATTTTCCATTTTGAAAAATAATATACTTGCAATCTTGGGTTTTAAGTAAATAATTGCTGAAATCAGTACACCAAAATTAGTAACCTCTGATAGGACAAAACTCAAGAGAACGAATATAATATAAAAGGCATAATGTTTAGCTAGCAGAACAAAAAATTTAGAAATGTACAAATGTCAATTTGACAGAAATTGTATAATTTGTCAAGTACTTTTTAAAAGAATTATATAATTTTTAAAAAATACTGAGCAAGTTGATTTTATTTCCAAAATTAAACAACAATTTAAACATGTGCAGCACACTAGAAAAAAACATTTTTTGTACTTTGTTCTTCTACTGGCCATGGTCTTACAATTATTTAAATTCAGAAGCAATCGGTTGATAATGCTTTGGACTGCTGCAGGCTAAAATTCTCACACAATGCCTAAAGGGTCATTACAATGAAGAAATTCTATTGAAAACAACAGAAAGCCTTACCCCTTCCCGAAGGCACCTCATTAGCACAGTGTAAGCAGCTGAAGGAAGGACCCAGCGTTCTCTGGAGTGCTCTTTTTTCTCCTCCTGTAAAGAGGAGATGTGGAAGAAATGAAATGAACAGCACAAAAAAGGATAACCCCCATATTGCAAAAATTATAATTAAAAAACATAATCTCTATGAAGTTGTTTGTTTTAAATTGTGCCTTTAATGTCTAGCGAATACCATTTTGAACCTCTGTGTAAGATGTTAACTTCTGTACAAATTAGCAGCTGTTCTGTCAGGTTTCCAAATAATGGGTGCAATACACATTTCAGAGAAATCACTGAAAATACACATGAAATTATGACAATTAGATTACAGAATTAGATTACATTATGGAATGAGATTATGACACACGCTTTCTCTCTTTTCTGAGCATCACACTACATGTTTAATGTCGCTAGACTATTCCCACATACTAACCAAAGGCAAATATTTGAATCTACTTTTTCTTTTTTATAGTATGCAAAATGTCACATGATTTACACTTGGGTGTTACATACTTGGAATTGTGGTTCTCTGAATGGTCATTTGTGAACTCAGACAAATTGATTTTCTGCCTTATTTGGAACACTCTAGAGCTAAATAGCTTTTTGGCAGAACATTGTCATCATTCTCCATCATGCATATTTCAAACCAATACACCTCCTGCGGTTCTTACTCTCCAACAAGTCCAAAATTAACAGAATATGAGTAGATGAGAAATGGGGGAGTTGTGTAAAGTCTTTGGCTCAAGCAAATGGAAGACTAGCTACCTTACTTATTGGAGTCAGGAGATGACACGCTAGTAGTGAAGAAATAACAGAATGGATAAGACATATACCAACACATGTTCTATCTTACAACCTGTAATGAGCTACAAAGGTGGGTTGTTATGACTAGGGAACAGCATGGAATGAGTCTGGGAATTATATTTCTGCAATAATTGCAGTTCATGTAGTTATCACTGGTAGAATATGTCTGATATTAAGGGTAATTTGACCAGATTGCATGTCAAGGAAATGGTATCGGACATCCACATAGACTAGGGGTCCTCAAACTAAGGCCCAGGGGCCAGATGCGGCCCTTCAAAGTTATTTACCCGGCACTTGCTCAGGGTCAACCTAAGTCTGAAATTACTTGAAAGCTCACAACAATAACAACAATCCTATCTCATCAGCCATAAGCAGGCCCACACTTCCCACTGATATACTAATAAGTTTATATTTGTTAAAATTGTTCTTCATTTTAATTATTGTATTGTTTTAAAGTGTTTTTTTGCACTACAAATAAGATACGTGCAGTGTGCATAGCAATTCATTCATGCTTTTTTCAAATTATAATCCGACCCTCCAACAGTTTGAGGGATTGTGACCTGGCCCTCAGTTTAAAAAGTTTGAGGACCCCTGACATAAACAGTCTTTGAGAGGAGACTGGCATCCCCTTCCCTACACCACCACAGTGCAAAAAGAGTGAGTTCTGATGTGCTTAGTGTATGAAACAAAGAAGGCAAGAGACTTACAAATGCCTAAGGAATGAAAAGATCCTTTTACACTATAGAACGTAACCAATGTAACGGCTACTAGAAAGGTGACATTGAAGTGTAACACTGTAGCTCTGGCATGATGAGAGGGTCAAAGGATTTGCCCATGAGTTGGGGGAGCACCACAAATAGAGACCACAGTGGTACAAGTGCTGCAACCAGAGGATACAGATATTTCAAATCCTTGATGGATCTTTTCAGTGATTGATCAGCAAACAACTCAGGACTGTTAATACAGTCCTGCTGATAAAAAGAACTGGAAGTCAAATACATTTTGAGAGAAGAATAATATTTTAGTATACAGAAAGATAAAGAACTACAATACCACCAGGAGCTCAAAAAGCAGGTTGGGTCAGTTTGAGGAAATTTCTAGATTTTCTTTCTATTTGAGAGCAGAGAAGTAAAAGGTTACCAAACCACATTAACTATCTGCACCTCTATATCTTATGGTACAGAGGATGGAGTCTCCAGACAGACAACTTAAGGAAGGCCAAATTCAAATGATCTGTTGTGTTGCCACCTGGGGTCACAACAGCCCAGTGGTTCCCAACCTGTGGTCCATGGACCACCAGTGGTCCACAAGAACTAAAATATGGTCCGTGGCCTCACCATTACTACACCGTTGCAACAAGAGTGAGTGGTCTCGCAAAACCCTCTTATAGTGCCAAGGCTTAGTAAACATGGTTTTCTGTGGATGAGCAGATGGCAACTACTGGATGGCATATGTTCTGTATCAGAAACTAGAGCTGACGTGGTCTATCCAATGCAATTTTCTGAATCAGCACCCCAGATAACCGTACCGAATCTAAAGTTGACCGAAAACCTTTTGGTACTAAAGTTGGAGAGTGATCCCTGGTAAAAAAAAAAAAAAAGTTTGGAAACCACTGCAATAGTCCAATGACAAGGAAGATACAGATCTTCGTTATCAAGAAAAAAATGCTGCCTAGACCTCACTGTATTGCAAAGGTTCCTGATCTGGGAAAGAGTGTACAGAATGAGGAAAGTGTATAGAAATGCTCCCTTCATTTGCATCTCCACAAACATACATATCTTAACCCGTGTGAGCCACGCTGCACTGTGAAGAGATGCAAAGTTTTCCAACATGAGCAGATGCATCTGCAAGAATATTGTAGGTACATTTGTCTGTGGCCTATTTTGTCCTGCTCTTTGTATCTTCCAGAACATTGTCCATGCTGACAACATAATTGGGCATGGGAATGTTCGAATGGGAATGGGAATGTGAAGCAAGAAGCAGAGAGGATGTCTGGATCACATACCATCTTGTTTGTTCAAACAGTATGGCGCAGTAAAATTGTTGACAATCTGAATAGCTTTGTGCCAAAGAAAAGATCTGAACATCTCAATAGCCTTGAAAACAGAACTCTAGAACCCAAGTGTTTTAGACTTCAACTCCCAGAAATCCCAGCCATCTTACCAAATGTTAAGAATTGTGGAAACTGGAGTCCAAAACACCCGGAGGATCAAAGGAGGATCAAAGGTTGGGAACCACTGCATGGTTGGTGAGCTCTCTTCCAATTATATCATTGATATGAATTTTCAGATTGCCACAATGACACCTCACTGGTAGTAATAGTGACAATTGGTGGTCAAATCCCATCAGATACTTCTGATAGGTAACAGTTGCACACTTCCTCTACTGACAGATCCTTGCTTTGAGAATAGCAATTTCTTCACAGAAAACAACTACATATTTCAGTACATCTACTTTAATTTGGATTAACACAGTGGATTAATCCTAAACTTTGAAATCCGTAAAGCAGACTAAAGGACAGACTATATACCTTAAAATAAGTACATGTTGCTCTTTCTCATGAAATAAAACATGAGCTATGCATTTAAGGATTGTAAGACCCTAAGAATTGTTTAGAATTGCCACATCGAATGAGTCTGGCAAAGAACTGTTTATCTTACCTGGCAGGCCACAAGATAAATCAACTCCCCAAGGGTAGGTAAAAGGCACTGTTTTAGTTTACTGTTCCTGAAGTTCTCCCTAATCAATTCTGTTAAGAGAGTGACTGCCTGTAACAATAATGACAACAAAAAATGTAATAGCAAAAGAGGAATGCAGCATGGAAAGTGGCAAACTCTCATTTTAACAGAAAAAAATGCAAAGGATTACAAAAACAAAACAAGCTTCATACAATGCCTTGTATAACTGTTCATTTTATTTATTTATTTATTTATTTATTTATTTTATTTACTGTATTTTTAACCCGCTCTATCTCAACCCTGAAGGGGACTCAAAGCAGCTTCCAAATTGGCAATAATTCAATGACACAATAAACAAACATACAAATACAATATATCAGAAAAAACAACCCATAAAAATCTCCCAGAATGAGTCCTCTGGAAGCATTGCTCATATATTGTTGTAGTTCAGCGTGTTGATAAGARTTGCTACTCCTGGTAGCAGGGTGGAAAGGTCTACTCAGGAGTCGGAGGGAGAACAGCAGCGTCAGCGCATTAGGGAAATCATTATGGCTCCAAGTGATACTAACACATTCCCAGGCTTCTCTGATTGCGAGATGGGGGATGGGGAGGTGAGCAGAGGTGTAAAAAGGGCTGCTYGCGAGCCGGAGTCGCGAGCAGCCCTTTTTACACCTGCTCGCGAGCAGCCCTTTTTACACCTGCACCTGCTCGCGAGCCGGAGGGGGRATTACAAAGGAAACGCATCCGGGAAATGCTTTGTGCACCAACAGAGGATGAAGATTTCCTAGGGTTTGAAAGGAGTTCTGGGTCTGGGAGTGATATGGAGGAGGAGGAATTGGATTGGACCCGTGTGCAACAAATAAGAGACATCTGTAACCAGCCCACCTCTAGTGAGGAATTTGAGGGGTTCACTGAGGATTGGCAGCCAGGCGACTCTTGGTAGGATCTAAACCTTGACAGTAATTGGCAGAGGTGGAGGGATGGGCACTCAGTTGCAGGGTTGGGGGCAGCTGAGAGCGATGACGAGAGGGTGGGGAGCTCATCAAGCTCTGAGGAGGAACTTTGAGATAAAAGTGGGCTCTGTTTGCATGCTAATTCGCAGAAGGCAAAGCGTCTTTATGTGACATAACTCTTTGTACTGCCAACTCTTAAATTTGGGTTGTGGGCTGCAGCTTTATGTGTTCCTGTTTTCCTGCTCCTTGGTGATTCCTGCATTCCAGCATTTGTTTTCCAACAGCTTGACTTCGGAACGGTTTGACCAATGCTTCTGGCTATCTGGACTTTGAACTCTAATTACTCTGTGTTTGAGCAACTCCTTGTTTTGGGGACTTTGTTTTTCTGTCTTATGTGACTGTGTTTTTGTGCTCTACCAATTTTCAAGCGAATTGCTTAACTTTGAGTTTAATCCGGATTATTAGGCAGCGCTATAATCCGGGTTATATTTTTGTTTCTGGTATCGCAATTTACTCCTGGGACTATTTGCACTGAAGTTAAGTGCTTTGAAGACTATTTTTGTTTAATAAAGCTGTGTTTTGTACTCTTACTTTGTGTTTGGCTCTAATTAAGGCTTCTGGGTCCTGACATATACTGTGGATAAAATCTGTAGTTGAGGATGGTGTGTGATCTAAATCAACATTCCCAAACTGTCCATTTAAATAATAAACAGATAAATATGTCCCATTGTAATATCATTGCAATTTAAGTGATATAAAATTGTTTGGAAAAATATACAATTATGTCAAGCAGAGAATATGGGGTAAACAGAGCTACTTCCAATGGTTAACACAATAATTGTTTAATTTTATTAAGACTTACATTGGTTACTAAGTCAAGATCTTTCTCCAGTATTTAATCTTGATGTATAAGTGACCTCTAGTGGAGGTTTCTATAACAATGCAACACCAATCTGTCCAAATAATGTGGAATAGCCTATCAATTACTAATCTATTTGCTAGCAATTATTTAACTGAGACAATGGCAGAAATGATAAGATCTTGGAAATAATTTTGCATGGTCCATTCATCCTCATCTGCTGCTGTCCATGTGAAGTTCCTTCTGCTAAAAGAAGAAATCAGCAACTCTTCCCAACTGCCTTAAAACCTAAAGACCAGTAACTTTAGACCTTGTTGCAAACATAACAACACATGACTGAAAAAGTTGTGCATTCTCATGGCCTAAAATCTCCTTCAAGTCAAGAGAAGCATATATATAGGAGGTTCCCAACCTTGGAGCCTCCAGGTGTTTTAGACTTCAACTCCCAGAAATCCCAGCCATTTTACGAAATGTTAGGAACTGTGGGAGCTAAAGTCCAAAACATCTGGAGGCCCAAAGGTTGGGAACCCCTGATACACACATGTGCACATATGCATATACTCACATAGTTTCTCTGTGTGTGTGTGTGTGCTGCTACTATCTAACCAAGCATTTAAAAAGGGAAACTGATCTTAAAGGTGAATAAATGAAACATAATATTTTCCCCTTGAAATATCTAAGGTATTTCTTGCCACAGACAACTTTTACACAAATCGAATATGCCACTGAAATGATCATCAACCATTAAAAGATGTTATCAATGCAGTCTTTAAAACAACAATAATAGTATAAAGTTTATACTGTATTTATCAACTGAGAGCATTGGGACATTCAGTTCACCGTTTCTATTCTTTTGTCATCTTTAAAGCATTTGAGAAGCATTATACTCACACACGGAAAAGACTACTTTCAGGTGGTTGAACCAAGAACAAAAATCCAAGGAATACAATACCAACTTATTTGCAGGGATTGATACCATCTTATATACTGTAATCTTTATTGCAGTGCACTGTTAACTAAAGATAAGATTTCACTAAATACAGGTTTACCCAAATGCAATTTTCTTCTAAAGTCTCAAAGATAAACATTCTTCAAAATGGTGTGCTGATGCTTTTTTGCAGGTTATTTAAGGGATATTGAGCAGACTGCATCATTTTTAAAAATATTTTACATTTAATCCCCTTAAACATTTTCTTAACCAAGCATTCCAGTCCTCCCTTTGCCTAAGAAATGCATTTTAACAAAATGTTACATAGTAGGTGGTTACACAGTGTGCTGGCATGTTGTAGTGGTTGGAGTAGAACACTGAGGAACTTGTGTTTAAGTTCCCACTCAGATATGGAAATACATTTGGTGCCCTTGAGCACCTTACCTGCTCTCAGAAAAGGTAAGGAGAGCCCCATTCTGAACAAATTCTGCCAAGAAAATCCTGTAATAGGTTGACATTGTCATAAGTCAGAAACAAAACGGATGGCACATGACAGACATTTGGACATTTGTCTGCAATGTTCAAATCCCCAGTCAGTTACAAAGCTCACCAAGTGATCTTGCCCAGTGACCATCTCTTTTGTGGGGAGATAATAAAAACACAGCTCTGAATTTTCAAGGGAATGGCATAAAAGTTGAAGAAATAATTAATCACAGTTATTTAGCTTTCACCTTTTAAGTCGCTCTTAAAATTGAAACACTTATTTCTCTGTGAAGTTAACTCACATCTTATATTCCACTGTTTTAAAACAAAATATTACCTCTACAACTGGAACATTCTCTTTAAGTTCAGCTGTATGAGATGCAAGCAAGCCAATAACTTGGGCTGCTTTAGCACGTCTGTAATTAAATTTAAATTATTTATGAAAACCACAAATCAGCAAGTTTAGAAACTATTGCAGAGCTCATGTTATGTAAACTGGTTGACATAAAAAATTGAATTGAAAGGAATCATACACTCCAGATAACAACACTAGCATCAAATTAGCACAAAATCATTTCACTACATAATTATACTGTAAAGATTTTAAAAAATGTAATGAGTGAAATATGCAGTCTTCCCATGATGAAAGTTTTTGTGTCATTCACATAGACTGATATGAAAGACAGAAAAACAGACATCATGGGAAGACTTTATGTTTCATTCAGCACCTTGGTATTGCTATTATGTAAGTACCAGAATTGGATAGACAATTGTTAGCAAACAACTAATATGCTTTACTGTCAAAGTTTGCTACCTATAGTGTACTCTTCCCAGTGGGCTACCAGTGACTCCAGCAGGCCCTCCAATTTTGCAAATTTCCCTTTTTTGGATTCAATTTGATGAATATGTGCTTTCTACCATTAACTTCCAGTAGAAAATAACTATATAAATTCCTAACGAGAGCACTTCTTTAGACATTTATAAGTCCTTCTGAAAAATTCTTTTGGAAATTGACCTCAGAGTCATGCTGGCAGAACTAGAGTGCCTTGTGAGGTATTCTGTCAGCTAAATAAAAACAGTGGGTTTTTTAATCCAAGGTTTTTCCACTCCTGTGACCCTTACCCCAGCAAATATGAAGGGATGACTGTAGAAATTGTGTGTCTTAGTGAGTGTTGTACTTAATCCGTTCCTGGTTTCCTTCCTCTCAAAATGTCAAGTTAAAGTGATGTAGATATTTGATTTGGATTGGGGCCTCATTAACAGCTTGTTTATTTTAACTCATGTTGTACTGTATGTGTGTGTATGTGTTTGCCAAATGTTTTTGATATGGCTAATGGGCTAATCAATAAAACATACTAAGTTAAAGCTATGCCTTTTTTCAAAACCAGAAGACTAGAAGATATATATACATTTTTGCATCTTTAACAATAAAATAGAAAGGTTATGTTGAGTGAGTATTCTAGAAATATTAGATCCCCATAGAGTGCATTTCACTCAACAATACCCCTTCCATAATCTCAACAAGCCTTGCAGTATTTGAGCTGATATTGCTGACTATTCTTTCACAGTAAATCTTAGGTACCAGTTCATAGGCCCTGATATGATATTTATAAGCTTTCTCTAAATTCAGAGAAGCCACTTAAGAAGCAGACATGATCTTGCTCTTTGAGTGAAATGCAGGGATGCCAGCAATTAAGGGATACACTAACAGAATAATGTCTCTTGCTTGGGATTGGGAAGTTCTGTTTACTTACAAGAAAGTTAAACAAATATGAAAAAGCTAACAGATCCACAGAGAACTCAGTAATTAGTAGGCATATTGTCAAACAGCCTACAACTTTTCTTTATCCATGATTTAGCAACAAATAACTGAACTCTTTCTGGAGAAACCTCAACAGGCAATCCACTACAGTCGTTCTAAATCTGTGGGTTCCCTGATGTTTTGGCCTTCAACTCCTAGAAATCTTAACAGCTGGTAAACTGACTGGGATTTCTAAGAGTTGTAGGCCAAAACACCTGGGGACGCATAGGTTGAGAACCACTGCACTACAGTAACCTGGCACTGTGGAGCTGTTGTTGGGAGGATCTGACTCCTGCTTTATATAAGAGTAGACCACAAGTAAAGGCTCAAAATGCCATATGCTCAGACTACTATATGATAATGGTTGGTTTTGCCTCAGCTGTGTATGTCCAGTAAGGTACTATACTGACCCATAATATGCACAGAGGCTCCAAAGTGTGTCCATCAGAAAGAACATGGAAAAAGCAGGATGAAGCCACGGTACTGAATCTGAATAATGATTACATGATACTTACATGTCCCAGTTTGAAGCTACTCGCAACTGTTGTAATAATGCTGGGAACTAGAATTTAAGAACACAGAATAAGGTATTAAGTTATTCACTATGAATTGTTAGCAAATAAAAAAACTACAATTTAGTGTTATTGTTTTATTTTCAATGGTCCAAGGCACTGAAGAAAATAAAAGATTGATATCCATTGTGAATGGTCATTCTAGTGAGGCTGAAGGAGCAATCCAGTATACATGGGTTAACTACCATATTTCATCCCATAATAGCTGCCAGTGCATGATAGCTGCAGTCCCATTTTTGAGTGCCAAAATTGGTATTTTAGTATTCCTTGCATATGTTATATCCTTGATTTAGAAAGCCTCCCCGTTGTAAACAGTCTAGCATTCCCTTTCACGTGTCTTGCTACCGTGAACTGCCTGCCCTAAACATTTTATCCACTTGCTCTCCCCCTTTCACTCCATCCGTAAAGAGTGGCATCTGTTGTCATAACCAACATCTCCTGAGGAATGAAAAAGATTGAATTGTCTTCCAGGCATCACTACAAATCTGACCAAATGGTGTGTGGTATGATCAGTAACAATTTTATTATTGCCAACTGACATGGTCTGAAGAAAATTTTCAGAGTTCTCATATGGAACCACACACATCAGCTGGACTGAAGTAGCTGTATTGTTGACATCAAAACACCTAGCACTCTTTTCAAGTGCATCACATCTGCTGGTCTTAACTGAACTAGATCTGATATCAACTTTTATCTTAATTTTCCTCTTCTGAGAGTAAGACACAATCTTTTATGGTATAATTCTTGGAAGGGTACTGAACAGAGAGTGTTCAGACTTGTTCCTCATGCTATCTACATGCAACCACTTGGAGAGGTTTTCTGGAGTTCTGGGGTCAGGTGTCACATCAGTATGTTGATATCTAGCTCTCTCTTCTTTCCATTTAATTCCAAGGAAGCTGTTTTTGTGCTAAACTATTGTCCCGTGGCTGTAATGGACTGGATGAAGAGAAACAAACTGAAGCTTTATCCAGACATGACAGAGGTGCTTCTGGTCAATCACGTTAGATCAGTGTGGTGCACAAGCAAATGACCAACCTCAACAGTGGTACCTAGTCTTAGTCAGTTGTATATCTGTATAGTTAATATGAGAGGGAATTGTTTTATTTTATAATAGCACCCTTTCCAAGAATGAAGCCTGTAGAACAGTACCTCCAAGCCTCATTCCAGAGAGGTGACTCAGAAGGATATCATCATCAATAGTATCAACAGCATAGCTCATCCATCAGAATGGAATGGATCTAGAGATGCTCCTTTTGTGACAAAGAACTTCTAAATGAAATGTTAGATTATGGTGACAGCACAACTAAACTGTATTGTGCCTGCCTTCCCCTCTCCTTCAGATGCTGCTGTAATTGAGAAAAGCCAGAAAATGAAGGCCATCAAAAGACCTTGTAAATGTCTTTTGGCACTGGCAAGAGGTGGGAGGATCCCACAATTCCCCAGGATGCCACTATGTTTATTAGAAAGTTCCAATGTGCTTGACAGGACTTAATTAAAACTCAGTGTCCACAGAACTGCAGCCTTGGTTTCTCAAAATACAAGAGGTAGCTGACTTTTCCACATTCCTGGTATTATCTACCTTTATGGTTTTGACAAACTGTACAACTCACCAGCTGTGTGCTAATTAATCTGGTTGCTACTTCTTTATTGCCAGCAACAGTGCAGAAGTAGCAAAGTAAATTCAGTTTAACTCTGGCCGCTCCTGTAGTCTTTTCTTGGGAATCAATCAGCTGATGCACTTGTTGTAAGAAGTCATTCCATTCTTCTTCTTTTTGCATCAATAGTTTCTCAGCTACACAGAAAAATAAATCAAGAATAGTTTCATGAAAATACTCTATTGTTGTATTTTAGTTGTGATACTGAAATATGTTTGTTAATTAAGGTGTATCAAAAGCTTCTTATCAGGCAATATGTATTTAAATAATTGTAAAACAATACACTGTTTCAGTGAATAGAGTAGGAATTAAAATATGATATCCATTGGTTTATCCTCAGCCCAATTCAATGTTAAATACTACATTCAGATCTATGAGACCCAAACAAAATTGTTAGTTCCAGCTAGAGAAGTTTCATGGATTCAGCTGAAACCAGGTAAGTCAACAAATTATCTTAATTCTACTGATTCAGTGTGTTTACTCTAGTTGCTACTCCTGGAAATTACAGTCCAACAACATCTGGATGTGTGCACAAATCCAATCCCTGGCCTATATATGTAGTTTTAATATATAAACAAAAACAGAACAGAGGCAGTTATGTATATAACCCAATCACCCGTTAGAAAATATAAACCCCAGAATCAGCTAAAACTAAAATTATTAAGAAAAGGTAATTTGTATAAGAATCTCAATTACAGTTTTCAGCAACTACTGAATATAATTGTACATTATAGTTTATAAGATCAGGTACAAAATCTGCACTTATGCATCATCCTACTCAGAGAAACCAATGGGAAATTTTGGATTGGCTAAATCGAAAACTTCATTACATAATTTGCTATCATAGTTGTCAATCCTAGTTTCAAGGAAGCACACCAAAACAAATCTTGCTCAGAAAATTATGCATTACATGGAGCACATAGAGCAAAGGGGTTTTTATAAACTAATCTCAAGCTGCATCCTTCAAAATTAGTCTAGAAAACAACATCTATGTCAGTGGTTCTCAACCTGGGGTCCCCAGGTGTTTTGGCCTACAACTCCCAGAAATCCCAGGCAGTTTACAAAATGTTAGGATTTCTGGGAGTTGAAGGCCAAAACATCAGGTTGAGAACCACTGATCTAAGTGCACAGTTAATAGCCGCAATTAATTTGCAAAAAAAAAAAAAAAATACCTGAATGTGCTGGTATATGCAAATTTTTCATGTCAAATCTCATCGCTACTTGCTTCACTATCTGAGAGGAAAAAAAGAATGGATTGAACTGAGGAAACTATATCACAGACCAAGGTAAAACTGCATAGCCAATATTTATTTTAATTTTATTTTATTTAAGATATTTGTATACTGCCTTTCTCTACAAGTGGATCCAAGGGGCTTACAACATATAAACCATAGAATACAGAAGTTAAAACATAGTTAAAATCAAATACTCAATATAACCAATTACCACCTCCCAATATATCAACCAACAGCCATTATGGAACAAAATACTTTCTACCATAATCGTCCAATGATATGTGAATTTATAAAATTAACTCAAACTACAAACTGGTATAAAATCTTTGAATAAGACTGAAAAGCAAACATGGGCTGACTTAGAAGTATAACAAACTCCACATTCTCCAAACCCCAAGAATTCCACCCTCCTAAATGTTAGACTCATTATACTACAGAACTAAAGTAGCTAAATAAATTTAGGTATCTCCTAGCTATTTTGATTTTTTAAAAACAAAGCTGCATGTAAGTGGCAACACAAATACTTGCACTAGCATTCTTTTTAAAAGGTACTTAAATCTTTAAATTTTAACAGTTTTGTATAATATACTTGCAGCTGCTAAATATTACTGAAGACCATCCATCGATGTTTATATACAACCCAAGATCCAAATACACACTTTTAGGCGAGTTAAACAGTATTTTTGCAGGTTTCTCTACTATGCCATATTATAGCATAATTTTAGATTTTTCCGCAGTTCCTGGAGTAATTTTATATGTAAGATGGGGAGTTGCTCTTTGAGACACTCAAAGTCAAAGCTATTTTAAGTATGAAAAGTTCTTCTTTATATCTTAATAACATGAGCATACTTTTAATAATGTAATCTTAATGACAAAAGATTGAAACTTCAATTGTCAACCATAGCAGAGCACTTGATGAACCAACCTGGACATAGCATTTTATAAGAGAACACAGAAATTCTGGACCACTCTAACAACTACCATGTCAGACTACACAGAGAAGCCATTGAAATCCACAGGCCTGTGGACAATTTTAATAAAAAGAAGGAAACTCTGAAAATGAACAAGATCTGCCTTCCATTATTTAAAAAAACTCTAAAATCAGGACAGAAAATAAAGAACAACATTCAGAAAACAGGGGAATTCCAGACAGGAAACAATCAGGGCTAGCTAATCACCTCCCAACAAAGGATTCCACAGGCAGGAAGCAGCCAGGCTTTGAAGTTGCAAGGTTATTAAAAGCTAGTCAAGGTGGCCAATTGCAACATTCACACCTGCTTCAGACAGACAAGAGTTCTTTCTCCCATCATGGGCATTCCATAAATATATAAACTTCACTTGCCTAGTTTTCAACAGTCCTCACAACCTCTGAGGATGCCTGCCATGGATGTGGGCAAAACGTCAGGAGAGAATGCTTCTGGAACATGGCCATACAGCCCGGAAAACTCACAGCAACCCAAAGTACAAATTACTTCAACTTCTTGTTATCATTTGTATGACACTTATGTATTCCAGCACTTGAATTCAAACTGCAAGTACATCACTCTCCCTGACTATTCTGCCTCATCGTTCTAATGTGAAATTAATATGAATATGTTTCACAAATAAAAAGGAATGCATGAGATTTAGCTTGATGTCTCAAGACATTCAGTGGATTCCATGGCGTATGTACAGCAACCTTGAAAACATCAACATACCCAGAAGCTTACTATGACATATACTAGTAAAATAATCCAATCTTGTAGTACAACACTAGAGCCCTCAGTGGCACAGTGGGTTAAACCCTCGTGCCAGCAAGACTGAAGACCAACAGGTCAGAGATTCGAATCCGGAGAGAGCAGGTTGAGATTCCTCTGTCAGCTGCAGCATCCCATGCGGGGACAAGAGAAAAGCCTCCCACAAGGGTGGTAAAAACATCAAACATATGGGTGTCCCCTGGACAATGCCCTTGCAGACCGCCAATTCTCTCACACCAGAAACAACCTGCAGTTTCTCAAGTCGCTCCTGACACAGAAAAAAAGTATAACACTTTTATACAAAGCTACCAAAAAAAGCACCCAGATATGGACACTAGGTGGAAGTGTAGGAATAAAAGATGCATCAATGTAACGCAGAAATGGCAAACCTACTGCACTATTTTGAACATATTTGGAAAGGTATCAAGAATGTTCTGCAGTACCTTTGGATTGTCAATAATTGGAGTCACAATAAGATCAGACTCTGTGTAGATAAGCTCTTTCACTTTGGATTCCATATCCTGTGGACTGTAGGGTCTGTTTTTATCCTAGAATATAAGCAGAAATTACAACAAACATTCTCCTCCGTACATATTCAAGTATACGCCGACCCAAATATAAGCCAAGGCACTTAATTTTACCACAAAAAACTGAGAAAACTTATTGACTCGAGTATAAGATGAGGTGGGAAATGCAGCAGCTAAGGGTAAATTTCAAGAATAAAAATAAAAATAGATACCAATAACATTACATTGATTGAGGCATCAGTAGGGTAAATGTTTGAATATTTAATATTTTGAATGTAAAAACTGTAATTTAAGATAAGAATGTCTGGAACTCTGATTACCTATATACTTGAGTATAAGACAACCCAAACATAAGCCAATCTGAATTTAAGCTGACTGTCTCTAAAAGACCCTTTCTATTTGCAGTAGTTCAAGGTTAGGAAACCCCTACTTTATATAAGAGTAGACCACAGGCTGTACTTTTGTTTTGTGGCTTTTAGCTGCCTGTGTCGATTTCTTATTTAGCTTCTGCATATTTTACTCCACCAAACTTAGTCTTACCAAAAGTTCCCAACTGCATTTTTCAGTCAAATATAAGGACATCTTTATCCTCATTCTTTTCACTCTATTTTGGTTTGGTCATTTTTCCTATCTAGAACTGGCAGCTCAACTCTTTACTTGTTTTAATACAATAGCTACACAAAAACATATCCAGACTCTTTCTTCGTTTTGCCTGCACTCACCTTTACAGAAGAACATGGAGAAGTTCTCTGTAATGAATTTGAAGACATAATGGCAGTGGTACAGCTTATTTCTACTGTGTTGCTAGTCCTAGGTGTAGGACGGGAACTAAAAAATAGATAAATAAAACAGATATTTCAAAGTAAATACAGATATTTTTCCTGTAATTTGACCTCTCCACACAATTATCATTCACAAAATAAATCCACTGAGACTGGATTTCCTTGGGATTTGGGCTCTCTAGTTTTGTTGACTCTTAAATATTTCTCTATCACTAGGGTTCTGATGGTGAAGCGGGTTAAACCACTGAGCTGCTGAACATGCTGACCAAAAGGTTGGCGGTTTGAATCAGGGAAGCAGGGTGAGTTCCAGCTTCTGCCAACCTAGCAGTTCGAAAACATGTAAATGTGAGTAGATTAATAGGTACCACTCTGGTGGGAAAGTAACAGCGCTCTATGCAGTCATGCCGGCTGCATGACCTTAGAGGCGTCCATGGACAATGCTGGCTCTTCGGCTTTGAAATGGAGATGAGCACCAACCCCCCAGAGTCGGACACAACTAAACTTGTCAAGGAGAAGCTTTTACTTTTTATCTTAGGGTTCTGGAATTCTGATTCTCTGAAATAGCCATTCACACAGAATATTCACTCTTACACTTCTAAGAATTTCAGTATTCTAATATGTGATACTTTTGATATAAATATAGTCTGCAGATTCCACAAGGAAGTTGGTTCTTTGAAAGTTTTTAAGACTTCCATGTCTACTTCTCACTCTCACCAAAGATTTACAAAATAAATCTTTTCTACTTCAGAAAATTGAGTTCCACAAATGTCTTCAAAGTGTTTCAAACTTCTGTACTCATACCTCAGAAGGAAAATAGATTCATTTGATTCACCATCAACAGCACTTTTAGGGCGTAATTCCTCCGGCTTTTCTGTCAAATAAAATATACCTCATTTACCAATCTGAAGTTTAAGAATGTAATATTCCAAATATTAATTTTATTCAGTTTCATGTAAGAGTAATTTGTAAGATGAAACTGTAACCTCACCCAGCTTGAAAGATCTGTTCAACTGTTTGTTTGATGTTCTTAGATTAAGAGCATCTGGCGTTTTTTTACTCTCCAACTCCTCAGACTTTCCACATACAAACAACCCAGCATCTCCACTGTTGTTCAAACTAAAGAAAAACAAATTCACTTTGAAGTTAATGCAGCTTTCATTGTATTCTATTTTGGTCAAAACTTTGAACCGACTATGATTGGAAAAATAACTTTAAAGATCAATTAATAGGGTTGTTTATGGCAAAAATAATCAAGAGATCTGTCTACATATCAAACAGAAATTATAGAGTTATGCTTTATAAGCTAAGAACTATTCAATACTGAAATAATTTGGGGAAACTAACTTCAGGACACTTCCTAGAAAACAATTTGCTAACTAAAGAACAATAATAAAATTATTAATTATTTTTTGTAATTGGTAAAAATGTAATATTGTGGAGATGCTTAATGTTACAGTGATACACATCAAGGTTGGCCCCAGGCTACATTAGTTGGTTTACTCTCAATGATTTTAAGTAGACTAAACTACATAATGGGAAATTGTGGAATCATTGCAAGGGATACAGTTCAATAGAGTAGCTGCCTAACATAAAATCCAAAATAGCTTAATGGTTCTTGAGGCAGTTTTTCCTGCTCCTCTAAAGTAATGCCACATGGTAGTTAGTCACAGGAAAGCTTGGTCTATACAAGGAAAACTGAAGCCCAAGGTGAAGATGAATAACATTAGTTTCTAACAGAACAAAATAAGGTGTTTCATCACAATGCATGTGATGAAATTGGCTCTGGCTTATGGAAGATTATGCTATATTACATTTGTTATACAGTGTTGTTCAAAATCTAAAACGAAATGTGACCAATATACCTGGAGTTGGTGTCTTTTCCTGAGATCGATTCTTTGGAAATCTGAACAAAAGCATGTTGCCAGAAAGGATGCTGCAACAGTTCTGTCCAGTTCAATCTTTAAACATAGCAAAATGAGAAAAAGTATAAGAGTGATGTATAAATACCACAAACTACTAGTCATTTGAAAAAAAATACAAATTGCTACACCATCAAATCATCAGTTTACCTCTTCTGGGGATCCTTTTGAAGCAAAGAGACAAGCAAGTTAAGGAAGTCAGAAGATGGTTTTGGAACTGCAGACCCTGTAAGACAACCACATCACATATGGTTAGGAATAAATGTGATTCCAATAAATAGCATAGACCAGTGGTTCTCAACCTGTGGGTCCCCAGGTGTTTTGGCCTACAACTCCCAGAAATCCCAGCCAGTTTACCAGCTGTTAGGATTTCTGGGAGTTGAAGGCCAAAAACATATGGGGAACCCAGGTTGAGAACCACTGGCATAGACCAAAACAAATGGCACACTATCAAACTGCATTATCTTCTTAAAGCAGTAATGCATAGATTTGAGATAACTGTGTTGACAGTTGTAGGAAAGCAACTACAGGTAGTCCCCAAGTTATGAACACGATGGATTCTGTAGGTTTGTTCTTAAGTTGAATTTGCTGATAAGTTGGAACAGATCCATTTTTAATTGTAACTCTAGATATATATAAGCTTTGGATCGCATACGGAAGGGCTAACAATCCTGTGCTGTTTGTTTTGCTGTCTGTGCTCCTATTCAGAAATTTTCACCTCACTTTCTGTCCCTGTGATAATTGGATTTTGAAAATATTGGCTTGTTATGGAATCAGAAATGGTGATACAACTTCAGTTGAGACACCTCCTCCCCATGATCACTCTTTCAGGAATGAATTTCCCTTCCAGGGGGTAGATTTCTCTCACTTCCTAATGTTTCACCTCCATTCTTAATTATGAGTCATTTGTAAGTCAGATGTTTGTAAATCAGAAACTGTGTGTATGGAAATCTCTTCTGGTATTTTCTTTCTCCCATGCATTATGAGAGAGAACTCCAAGAAACCTTGTTATTGAGATGGAAGCAAGTTTATGTTCTATCATTCTGATACAGCTATCAGATTCATTAATAAGCAGAGAGCAAACACGATGTAGAGATGCACAGCTGACCTTCAATGGTAAGTGAGAAGAGCCATATACTGTATATACTCGAGTATAGGCATAGTTTTTCAGCCCCTTTTTTTAGGCTGAAAAAGCTCCCCTCGGCTCATACTTGAGCCAAGGTTATTTATTATTTTACTCTGTTATTAGTATTACTTTTACTATATTTATGTTATTACTCTATTATTATTGATATTACATTTACATTATTTTACTCTATTATTTTTATTACATTTATTATTTTATTCTATTACATTTATTACTTTACTCTATTTATTATTGTTATTAAATTTATTATTTTGCTCTCTTTATTATTATTGGAAGGATACATAAGCACATTTACATTGAAGGAGGCTAGAATAATGGTTTCATCAGAGCTGGACAGTCTTACATTACAGTTTAATGTAAATATTCAAAAACATTTTATTGGCATCTAGTTTTATTTTCAAAATTGACCAGTAGCTGCTACATTTCCCACCCTCAGCTTATATTTGAGTCAATACATTTTCCCAGTTTTTGTGGAAAAATTAGGTGCCTCGGCTTATATTCGGGTCGGCTTATACTCGAGTATATACAGTATATTGTTCTTCCAATTCATATTTTTTAAAGATTATTTTTAACACGCCATAACTGAACTGCTCATCCTTTAAAACATACCTTGCTGTATAGGTGGAAAGGGATCTTCATTTAAAATCTGTTCTGTTAATTCGGTATCGCTTTCAGAGAAAAAAGGTGGTCTTCCTATAAATGTAATGTACAGTTGGGGAGAAATTCAGCAACACTCGAGTAAACTCCAAAACAGTAATTTTTAAAAGTGTGCTTACTACAACATTTGCAATATGCTTATTTAAAAGATAATTTTCAGGATTTCTAGCATAAAATAAATTTCTTACATTATTTATTTTTCTTACAGTGAAATAATACTAGTTATCATGATACCTGAAAACATTTCATATAGTAAACAGCCCAACGACCACAGATCACTAGCTGTTGAGAAGTCATTTCCCTTTATCACTTCGGGTGCAACATATTTAAGTGAACCTGCAAAAGAAAATCAAGCAGTCTGATTTGTTCTGAGTTCGAATATATTTTTCTGTATAAGTTATTAACGATTTCAGCTAAACCAAATTTCTTGCTCAGTCCTAAACCAGTTCCCACCACTGGAACATCTAGAAATGCAGCCATGCAGCACAGAACTGCAAATCCATTCAAGAGAAGAAAGAAGATGCAGAGATATTTAGAAAACATTCAGAGGAGATAATGATTATGTAGTTCTCTGGGATGTTGTTAAAATGTATCTGTCAATGTTCTTCATCCTTTATTCATTTATTTATTTAAAATTTTTATATCCCGATCTTCTCTACCTCTGCAGAGGGATTCAGACCGGCTGGAAAATTGTAATCAAACAATACTTGGAGGGCCACATAATTCCCACTCTGACCTATATCAACCACTTTATGTGCATTAAGTCACCCAAAGGAGAAAGCATAGCATGGGGGAGCAAAGGGAGACTGCGAGAGCAGGACTCGGAGGTGGATCAGGCCAGAGAAACAGCTAGGTGTCATGGAAGCAAAAAGTACAAATGCGCCAATTGTGAAAACAGCCAACAGTTTGCCGTATAGTAGGTAAAGCAACCAAATTTTGGGTTAAAACCATTCTTTTTCTCTCACCTCCTCTCTTCCCAATTCTATGTAGGAAATTGAGATGAATGAGATGAAAGAGTTCAAGGATCCAAAAAATGTGCAGCCTAACTTTTGAGGTATCTGGAAACAGATTTTCAAACTTTGTTTTCACAATTACTGCAGCAAGCACACATGCATTTGCAGGTTGTTTTTTGTTGTTGTTTTTGTTTTTTTGTCGTGTCAGGAGCGACCTGAGAAACTGCAAGTCGCTTCTGGTGTGAGAGAATTGGCCGTCTGCAAGGACGTTGCCCAGGGGATGCCCAGATGATTTTTTGATGTTTTTATCATCCTTGTGGGAGGCTTCTCTCATGTCCTCGCATGAGGAGCTGGAGCTGATAGAGGGAGCTCATCTGCCTCTCCCCGGATTCGAAAATGCGACCTATCGGTCTTCAGTCCTGCCAGCACAGGGGTTTAACCCACTGTGCCACCGGGGGCTCCCCGGTGATACAGAAGTATCTTCAATAAATATATAAATAAATAAATAAAATCATTTAAAATATTTGGGAGAGGAAGAGATTCCTGCAGGTCACACAAATTTATTGGGCAGATAAAATTCAGTTGGAAGATGGGACTGAGAAAACGAATGAAGCTCTTTTCCCATTTTTTGCTTGCTATAATGTAACTGGAGCATCTAAATACAAAAGCAAGCACTATTTTAACTAAGGCTATAAATCAAAATGTAAACATCAAACAAATCTTTTCTGACAAAGCAAAACAAATTAAATAAAACTTAATTGTTGATCTCGTCACACAAAGCAATTGTGACATACTTTATATTAACTGATTACACACATCAAGAAGTATCTACATTAAGCTAAAGATTTCCCCTGACCTTATTTTGCGTCTGACTCTGGGGGGGGGGTGCTCATCTCCATTTCTAAGCCGAAGAGCTGGCGTTGTCTGTAGACACCTCCAAGGTCATGTGGCCAACACGACTACATGGAGTGCCGTTACCTTCCCGTAGAAGCGGTACCTATTGATCTACACATATTTGCGTGTTTTCAAACTGCTAGGTTGTCAGAAGCTGGGCCTAACAGCAGGAACTCATCCCACTCCCCAGATTCAAACCGCCAACCTTTCAGTCAGCAAATTCAGCAGCTCAGTGGTTTAACCCGCTGCAATACCAGGGAGCAGCTAATCATTTCCAATAATTGTAAAAGGGGGGCACTTTTCATTGTTTGAACTATATAAGGGCTAGCCCTTAGAGTAAACAAAGTGATAATTTTCAATCAACATCCATCCTATAGAGTCAGCCCATTCATTTGCTCTCCCAAGGTGTAGGAGGAGGAGGGAAGACATACGGTTTCCCATTAGTGACTCAAGGGAAATGCATGCTTTGAGCTGGAATTCACATGACTCCATTCAAAATGAAGTCCTCAGAAGCATACAACATTCATGATCCACATTCCTTTATTTCTTCCGGGTGATAATTCCATTCTTTGACCTATGCTGCTGCCCCGTGTACCAAGAAAGCAAGAATGTATAAAAAGAAGAAGAGAGAACAGGGAGGAAAAAGGAGAAAGCTTGAAGATTCAGATGAAGACAACTGCATTGTTTCCACTGCTTTATCAATTTTGTTTAAATATGTAGTGATTTAAAAAACAGCTAAAATGAAGTCAGCTGGCTCTCCACTTTTACACAATCACATAGTGTAGGAGGATCGAGCAAGGACTGGAGATAAAGCCAGGGCAGAAAGCAGCTTCCATTAGCTGATGACGCTTCCAACAGGAGCAATGCCATTGCACAGATAATGCTTCATGGTATACTCTTGGTTTGGTTTCATTTTTATATCAATATAGTAGTGTCACTTTCAATGATATAATCATTGAATTCTCCTCCTTCTCTCTCCACCACCAACCATTTCATGGTTTACACAGTTTTATAATTATATTACTGCACCAGCTGTTAGCTCGATATAATTGCAAGTACCTCTAAGTCTGCTTTTCAATATTTCTCCTCTGCTTTCACCACTATCGCCTCCCCGTTCCTCTGCTCCAATTAAAGCAAAAAATTCTTCCAAGTTTTCACCTTCTGCTTTAGCCAAGCAAAAGTTACTGAATTTCAAAGTGCCAGGCCCTTCCAGAAGAATCTGTAATAAGCAGCAGTTAAAAATGTCATTGCTTTAAAAAAATCGTTATTACCTATTTCCAGAAATTATGTATCACTATAAAAAACATTACTCTTACCTTTCCTGGAGTAAGATCACAAAAGAGAATTCCAAGTTCATGAATATAATGAAGTCCAGCAACTAAATCAATACCGAATTCTCTTATAACGTCTTCAGGTAAGTGTTTGTCTTGAGTAATTAGCAGTTCTAGTGATCCACCTATTTATAAACAATGAGTAATGATTTTTAAAAAGAATTACAACTAATAGATCTCTGTAGTATTATTCTTATATTTGTCTTGATATATCTTTCCCTTTCGGTGAAAATGTTGACCTGACAAAGCAGATCCGACAATAGTAATCTACAGACTATTCACAAGTAAGGGTTTGAGGAAAAAGGAAACATGAGAACTTTCTCAGTAACTTCTCATAAGCTACCTTCCTAGAAATGATGGAGGGTCCCAATCTTGTTGCCCTTCTGGCAGCAAGCAAAGACTTGTGTTTTAAAGAAAAGGATTTGAATAGTTTGCTATTAATAAAGTGCTATTTAAAACATTTTTATATTTTAAAATAATTTTTAAAATATTTTATTTTAACAACATTTTAACAACTTTTATATGTTTTTATCTCTTTGATATTTTTATAATTTTGTAAGCTGCCTAGAGTATATGCCTGTGAAGAAAAGCAGTACATATATAAACAAATAGACAACATGCTTGCATTTACCGAGGCTTGATTCATTGCAATTACTCTAATTAAGGCGCAAACCTAGATAAAATAACTTATTAGTTTGGGTCACTGTTGTAAATGTAGAGAACAGGTTTTCTGAAGATACAAAGGGGAAGAACTACAAGCATGTACATCTATTTAGAATACTTTAAAACATTTACAATATTTATATTTTCTCAATTAAGAGCCTTGCAACATTTTTCCCTAAACTTCTAGGGAACTGGAGACACATTACTATTCATGTTTGTTCTACATGAGTTAGAATTTTACTTTGCACCAAATTTATGATCACAATAGAAATTGGAAATGCATAACATAAAAGAAAATTACATGAAAAATGCAACAATTAGAATACTGTATTACTAAAAGCAGATTTCCAAAGAAGATTTGGTCTATAGTTTCTCTCAAACAACGATTTTTCCTTCCCTCACTCCACTACTCTATGACAAACATATTTTGATACTGAACTTTAAAAACAGTTTGTAACATGTACAAGGAATACGCATGTTATGATTGCACTCCAGATTGAATAAACGGAAATTAGGGTTGTTGTGAGTTTCTGTGGTGTATGGCCTTGTTCCAGTAGCATTCTCTCCTGATGTTTCGCCTGCATCTGTGGCTGACATTTTCAGAGTTTCAACTATGAAATTAAATTGTGAGCCTAAAGTTGCCTTAAAGAAGAGAGAGGCCTTATTTATTTTTGCTATAATTTGAAGTCTTTGTTTGTCCATTATGCAAACCAGGGGTGGGAATAATATGCTCCTCCAAATATTGTGGACTGTAATGCCCAGAATTCCTCACTGCTGGTTATGTTAACTAGGCCTTGTGTGTGTACTAGTTCAACAACATCGGGAACCAAACCTTGTTCTAAACAAACCACCAAACCTGGCATCTAATGACACCAAAATGAAGACTTGAGTAAAGTTTTGAACCCTATCCATTAATTATTTCAGGCGCCTCCCTGAACTGTTACTTCAAAGAACAGTTATTTCAGAGGCTATAGTAAGGAACAGTCACTCAATATTTGGCTAGAAAGTCTCTTACCTGTACATAATTCCACTACAAGCCAGAGATGGTTGCTTGTCTCATACCATTCGTGAAATGTTACTATGTTCTTGTGCCTAGTTTCATGAGTAAGGCGCACCTGTAACAGATTATTTATACATATGGGATAGTTTGAGCTCAATCAGAAATTGTAAAAACAATTGCTCTGCAGGAATAAGGGCTGGGGACAAATTTAGTCATGTTTGGAATATACTCACAATAGATTATGTGTAATGTAGGCCCAAATGAATTCAACCGGCATACTTTTAATTAAGAATTGTATTTAACCCCATTAATTCAGGAGATGTCTGGGCCAAAACATAGAGAAACCCTTCTCAAACACTAAGAAAAAATGGGACCAGCATTAATCTATTTTAAAGGCTGTATCTCCAGGCCTCTTTACCATCGCCTCAAACCCAATGCTGCAAAGACAAACAAAAAACCTCTAGCTAGACAGAAGGCCAGAAAAATGGACTGATCTTCCATAAAGAGTCAGCAAAAAAGGAACTTTGTCAGAGGCTTTGTTTACTGAACTGCATGAGAAGGGACCATTAAAGTGCAAAAAAGACAAAACCCATCTGCAGAAAACATAAAAGATAGTAAACGTTTATACATAGTCGGATTGATAGACAGAAAACACAGCAAACACAAAGAGAGAACAGCTTAAAAATAATACTTCAGAAGTGATAGAATAACAAAACTTCCAAATCAGTTGAGACAAAACAAAAATATATACATATCGTATATTATCATGTATAAGCAGAGTTTTTCAGCCCTTTTAAAAGGTGAAAAAGGCCCCTTGGCTTATACTTGAGTCAAAGTTATTATTTTACTCTGTAATTAATTTTATTACATTTACATTATTTTACTCTATTATTATCATTATTACATTTATTATTTCATTCTATTATTATAACATTTATTTTTTTACTCTCATTATTGTTGGAAGGATACGAAAGCACATTTACATTGGAGAAGTGTAGAATAACGGTTTTATCGAACCTACTGATGCCTCAATTAATGCAATTTTATTGGTATCTACAGTATTTTATTTTGAAATTTACCAGTAGCTGCTACATTTCCCACCCTCAGCTTATACTCAATACATTTTCCCAGGTTTTTTTGTGGTAAAATTAGGTGCCTCAGCTTTCATTCAGGTCGGCTTATACTCGAGTATATACGGTATATGGAAATCCTGTAAGAACTAAGTGTTTTTCTTGAAAACTCTTTTAACCATTTCTAACATTGTTGATCTGTTGTTTGGATACAATACCTAGCTTAAAAATGGTTGTTGAAAACAAAGACTATGTCTGATTTCAAAACAACTCCAATATTGAAACACAGCTGGGTGCATGACCTTAAATTTCAAGAACAATGATAAAACACACTCCAGTTTGGAATTTTCTTTTTCTCATGCATTTCGAAAATAAAAAATAAAACCCTGATAATAAATTAAACTATTTTTAAAAAACTGAGAAGTATAAGGGTAGATCTGAAGACACAAAAAACACAACGCAAGTGTTCTTATAATCAGTGACGATTACATGAAGCAATCCAAGTCTGAAAAGTTTGTTTTGTTTCCAGCAGGTTTTGCAGTCCACTGCAGTCTCATTAGCACAGGAAAGCTACCGTATATGTCGAGGACAGAATTACCTGAAGCCTGTTAGGAATTCCTTTTAAATTAAAATGGGTTAGCACACATCTCTTCTCAAAATAATAAATTTGCTTCTTACCCAATTTGTGATTTCAGCTCTTTTGCATTTATCAGTGCATAAAATAGCCACAAAGTTGATTGTTCCTTTTCTTCTGCCTTTATAAACAATGGTCTTACTCCCCCTTCCAATCTCCTCATATAAAATAAAGTTTTCCATCACAATGTATGCTGCAATAGAAATCCACCGCCTGCAAGATAGAAAAAAAGCACCTTCAGCGTAATACATCAAGATTATGCATAATTTTAAAAAAGAAGCCCGAGTCATGCAATTTTACAAGTGATGACAATGTAGGCTGTAGTGAAAACCACAATATTTTACATGTTCTGTCTTTGGCAGGCTTGCCAGTTATCCCATTTTGCACAGGACTTTAACAAAGGCAACCTGTCATGTGAGCTGGAAGAACAGATGCTAGCCGTACTCATAAGAAACAGATCTGGGAGCATTTGTCATGCAGCAGTGGCCTCATTAAGGAGCCAAAGTGATCTGTCTAGTGGTTTGAACATCGGACTATGATTCTGGTTTCGGACGACCACTCAGCCACTATGTGACCTTGGGCACATCACACTTTCAGCCTTAGAGGAAAGCAAAGGCAAACCTGAACTGAACGAATTGTGCCAAGAAAATCCAAATTCACACAACAACAACTGGTTTCATTACAGATCAAACTGGGGAAGGGGGGGCGCTTTCTATGCAAGACTAGCAACTGCTCATGGGTTCTTTCTAACTTCATGTTGGTTGCTGATCTATTATCACAAGATTTCATGGGGCTTGGGGTTTCCTTTTATGGAAAACCATAACTCTTGTGAGGGGCTCTTTCATCAGCCAGTGTTATTGAGAGGGGGATGGTACCCGGACCACTTGAGTCAGATTAATGCATTCAGAATAGAACCATAGAATAAAGAAAGCTGCATACCAGAACAGACATACAAATAGTAAGCAAAAGTATCATAGATAAACATTCCTAGAGAAGGCTTGAAGAAGTTTGTCATTTTCCAACATGCAGAGTATGAATAGTAATGGTGAGAGAATTGATCCCTGATGCATGCCAACACTGATGTTGAAGGTTCGTGAAATCCCTGCAGGGTAACGGACCATACTTGTATAACTGTATAATAGCTTTATCCATGTTAAATAGTCTTCCATGTGACTGTGGTGCTCGCCAAGGCCTTTTCCACACAGCTGAATAAAATCCTACATTATCTGCTTTGAACTGGAATATATGGCAGTGTGAATTCAGCTAACTCAGTTCAAAGCAGATATTGTGGGATTTTCTGCCTTGATATTCTAGGTTATATGGCCGTGTGGAAGGGCCCCTGATTAGGTCATGGGGATCCCAGTCAAATGCTTTTTCAAGATCAAAGAATGCAAAGTGCAGTGGTTTCTTCTTTTCCCAATGTTTTTCCATGAGTAACCGGGCAGCACTCATGTATGCAATATAGCACTTAGTATGAGGACCTTTTTTAAATAGGAACTCTCAAACATGAAACTACATTCATCTGTCATCTACCAATCCCCACGGGTGCCGGTTAACTGAGAGTTAATACTGTTATGTCTAAAAGTTACAGCAGACCCTATAGTGGAAAAAAAACCCATTATTATAAGAATTATTATAAAAATCCTCTCCAAGGAGATTAAAACAGCCCTTTTCCCGATATCTTTTTTAAAACAGCCGAAGACCTTCCTGTTCAAGTCAACATTCAATGAAGAAATCGAACTTGAAGGAACAGAAAGGCTAACTTGCAGTGAGATGAGCAAAGCATGTTACTTGAATTGACGAATTCCCGCAACAATAGTAACTGCTTAAAATGGTTTTAAATGCTTATTTATGTTTTATGTTATAGATGGTTTTTATTTGTTATGTATGCTGTTTGATTTGTACTGTTTTAATATTTGTACTGTTTTAATAATAGCATTGCAGCACACCAAAATACCTGGGAATTACTCTGGATCATGGTCTGACTTACAAGAAGTACTGCTTGAATGTCAAGCAAAAAGTGGGTGCTATAAATATTATCATGCGAAAGCTGACTGGCACAACCTGCAGATCACAACCAAACATAGTGAAGACATCTGCCCTTGTGCTTTGCTACTCTGCTGCTGAATACGCATGCCCAGTGTGGGATACATCTCACCATGTCAAAACAGTGGATGTAGCTCTTCATGCCAGATTATCACAGGATCCCTACGCCACTGGAGAAATTATACTGTTTAACCGGTACTGCACGACCTGGCACCCATTGGGAAGTAGCAGCCTGTAATGAAAGGACCAAGGCAGTGACATTTATGACTCACCCTCTGTTCAGATATCAGCCAGCATGCTAACGTCTTAAATCAAGAAATAGATTTCTAAGATTTAGGGAGGTATTCGCAGAGACACCTCAGCAAGCAAGAGTCTAAAAGGGGCAGGCTCAAACCCAGAACGTCAATCAGTGGCTGATACCAGATGAGAGACTCCCTCCTAGGCACACAGAAGATTGGAAGGCGCTGAACAGACTGCACTCTGGGACCACAAGATGCAGATCTAACCTTAAGAAATGGGGCTATGAAGCGGAGTCCACGGCATGAGAGTGTGGAGAAGAGCAAACCACAGACCACCTATTTATTATTTATTTAGGGCTTTTATATCCCGTTCCTTTCTCAACCTCCGCAGAGGGACCCCATGGTGTATTATGAGTGTATGGTCTGTGTGTAATACAGCATGTGTTGATGTCTGAATGTTATGGGAAAAAATGAGTAGAAAGCTTAGGCTGAAAATAGTGGATAATATGTAGAAATAGCAAGTCTATATGTTTTAAGTTAAGTAACTGATAATAATATATACTCAATGTCAGAATTAACTGGTTGATTGACTAAGGTAGACGGCATGTATACATCAAAAATATTGGGTTGTTATAGGTTTTTTCGGGCTATATGGCCATGTTCTAGAGGCATTCTCTCCTGACGTTTCGCCTACATCTATGGCAAGCATCCTCAGAGGTAGTGAGGATGCTTGCCATAGATGCAGGCGAAACGTCAGGAGAGAATGCCTCTAGAACATGGCCATATAGCCCATAAAAACCTACAACAACCCAGTGATTCTGGCCATGAAAGCCTTCAACAATCAAAAATATTGTTACTTGACTATTTGTTAGGATTTGTTGCTCTGTTATTTACCATAACTAAAATAAACTATTAAAAATCACTTTGTGGTTTTTCTATACATTATAACTGTATTCTCAATCCACTTCCGATACAATAAATAAATATGCTGTGATCCGCTTTCAGTCCTGGTTAAGGAGAAAAGCGGGATATAAATAATAATAATAATAATAATGGTAAACCTTTATTTATACCCCGCTAACATCTCCCGAAGGACTCGGTGCGGCTTACAAGAGGCTGAGGCCCAACACAACAGTAAACAACAGCATAACAAATACAACAATAAATAAACTCATAAAAACAAAACAATAAGCATTAAAACAATAGCAATACACATTAGAGAATAACACCACGATGCATTTAAAACTAAGGCCGGGCCAAATGTAATGATTAAAAATTATAAAAATGCTGGGCATGACCAGGTGAAATGAATAAGTTTTTGGAGATAGGTGCGGTATGTAGACAATCTTAAATCTCTAGTAAAGTGCATTTGGGACATGATGCTTGGAGTTTCCTATTCTGGGAAGGCACAGTGGAACAACCACGTCTTCAAGCTCTTCCTGAAGACTGCCAACATTGGGGTTTGTCTGATGTCCTTGGGGAGAGAGTTCCAGAGTTGGGGGGCCACCACAGAGAAGACCCTGTCCCTCGTCCCCACCAATTGTGCATGCAACACAGGTGCGATCATGAGCAGGGCCTCTCCAGTTGAACGAAGAGATGGTGTGGATTTGTATACGGAGATACGGTCACGTAGGTAGGCGGGTCCCAAACAGTTTAGGGCTTTGTAGGTAAGCACCTGCACCTTGAATTGGGACCGGAAAATGAACGGCAGCCAATGGAGCTCCTTAAACAGGAGGGTTGACCTATCTCTGTAAGGAGCACCAGTTAACAACCTGGCCGCCGCCCGTTGGACCAGTTGGAATTTCTGGGCCGTTTTCAAGGGCAGCCCCACGTAGAGCGCATTACAGTAGTCCAATCTGGAGGTGACCAAGGCATGGACCACGCTGGCCAGAAATAATATCAAGCATCTTCTGTTACAACATTACTCTTCCTGGTTTGAAAGTGTTATTTCCTGTTTAATTGTGCAGTCCTTACTTTGAAAGTTGTTGTTATAACCCAGATACTTCGTTTTAGTGGCTGCCACAAACTATGTTGAATGGGTTGAAACTCTAGGACAGGCCTGGGCAAACTTGGGCCCTCCAGATGTTTGGACTTCAACTCCCCCCATTCCAAACAGCCTCAGGCCCTTTCCTTTTCCCTCTCAGCCACTTAAGCTGAGGGGAAACTGTGTTGCAAAACTCTATTCCTCAAACACTCAAATAACCTCATAAAAGAACTTTCCCCCCGCCTGCACTGTTTCGAAGTATGCCACCAATACCTGCTCCCCGCAGAATGAGCCAAACCTGGAAACACCTGCAACGGGAACGAGCAAATTACAAATGCCGCCGCTAACCCAAACTCGAGCCCGGCCCCTCGCGGACTGGTCCATGTCTCACAAGCGCCGGGGGGGGGGTGTTAATATTTATAGGGAAATGAAAAATGTCACTTCTCACCTTGCGAAAAAGAAAGGTTAGAATTTCGTCTTGGGAGTGAGTGTAGTCCAGCTGCTTCCTTTCTCGAAAGAGTTGCTTACGACTCTGGGAATCAATATAATCAATTTCTCTTCTCCCCCCCCCCCGCTATGGATTGTGGTTTAGTCCAACCTCTCTCTCAGTCTCTTAGCTACGGTAGAGGACGCCGGAAACAAGGCTAGAGCCTCTTTTGAGGGGGAAAGGGGAGGAAGCATAGGCGCCTCGCGCTCTTCCATCCTTCGCAGCCGCTCCTCTTCCTTTCCCGCCCCATTTTTATCAGAGGTTCCCGGATGTTCCCCCATCCTGCGCAAACAAGAGGCAGAGGAAGGGCTGCGCCCTGTCGCCATGGCAACCCCATCCTCTCCTTTCTCAGCTGTTCCACTACAAACTGGAGGGCTGGAGCAATGGGCTCAGAGCTGGCTGAGGGGCCCAAGAGGGAGGCCACGAGTTTAGAGCCTTGTGATAAAGAAGCCTCTC